TCGACAAATACGCATTACAGGGCTATAATATTTTAGGAACAGCTTCCTTAGACCTTAATGATTATGAAAAGAAATACTTCAAAAGTTGGTTTTCCGGAAAATTTTCGTCCTCCCATACCCGTGTCTCCCCTTAAAGGATGTCCATGGCTGCGTTCTGCAGTCGTAACGCATTACAGGGCTATAATATTTTAGGAACAGCTTCCTTAGACCTTAATGATTATGAAAAGAAATACTTCAAAAGTTGGTTTTCCGGAAAATTTTCGTCCTCCCATACCCGTGTCTCCCCTTAAAGGATGTCCATGGCTGCGTTCTGCAGTCGTAAGCTATTTCAACAGCTGAGCTGTTAAAGTGCTCAAGGAAGGCTTGAGCAAGGGTGCCTCTAATTTCATCAGTTTTTGTTGACAGTTCAGTGATTAGAAGTGATTACATTTCTGCCTCTAACAGCACCTAATGGTGTTTGCGGCATTGTCCTAATAACATAGTGTAAATTATCACACTGGGCTAATACGAGCTTTGAAATTTTTGTTTAGTCATCCCTTTCCATGCAAGAAAAGATGGGCCTCCCATCTTTGAGGCAGTATCCATGTTGTACCACATGGTGACAGCCATGACAAAACTATGCTTTGTTGTTTGCTCAGGTGCTGTTTTGAGGAGCCATGACATCTGATTTTTTATCATGATCTGTGTTATGTGGTTTAATGCCTGTGGTTTTGCGAACAAGCTGGTAAAATTTTAGGGTACTTGGTCGATGTGATGTGTGGTGCGCGTTCAAAGTGCGCGCCTTCGAAAAGTGCGCGTCACGAAAAAAAAAAAAAAAAAAAAAAAAAAAAAACAAAAGGAGAAATACCAGAGTGCACGTGCGGTGCTGCTTAAACAAGAATGACGACGTTAAAGAGCGTCAAGCACGAGGATGCGTGGCAGGACGTGAAGTAAACAAAAGGTAAAACATCCAATGGGCAGCGAACACGGAGATTTCAAGGCCCAATGGCTTGACACCACGAAACAGCAGTATCTCCAATGAGAACGAGACAAGTGGGCCAGAGCTGAAGCAGGAGCCTGAGGAGACCAGAGCAAGGGGAATTCGAGGCAGGAGTGCAAGCGGAAGGTCGTCACCGGACCGGGCGCTGAAGATGGGCCGTTGGGTTCCGGACCCGAGCCTACAAGGACTTCCACCGGCCGGGACCTCCTGCTGTCGGGTTCCCGCTCCAAAGGACCGTGGCCATCCGGTCCTGAACTCCTTTCCAGGGCCTGCGGACTTTGGTTCCGGCAGGCGAGCTACAGCCGTCGGGCTCCGGGCCCGAGCTGTGCGCCCAGCTGCTTGACTAGGTCGACCCTAGTTCCCGGACGCGTCGCCACCAGCCTGCGTTCTCCCGTCTCCGACGTGTCCACGCTCCTCAAGCCGAAACCATCACGATTTGGTAGGGCTTTTCGACGTGTCGCCAGCAGCCAGCGTTCCCTCGTCCTCGTCCAGCCCACGCATTGACGCAGGAGTCACGGCGTTCCGGTTTCTCATCACCGCCGAAAACCAACTTGTGGGTGAGACTGCACCGATACTCTTGCGCTACTCCCATCACTCAGCCCCTTTCGAACGTTAGGTTTAGTTACTGACTTTGAACGTTCTTGTTGGGTGTTTACAGATGTGTTTCGTCATGTCCAGTCAACTGTTTATTAAGTGTTTTGTTTTGTGAGGAATCTTTGCCTTTTTACTTTTCAATTAAACTTTTTGTGTGTTTCTTGGAAACCGAACGGCTTTGTCCTTATTAACAAAACTCTCTGAGGCTCAGCCCGGGAGAAAAACAAATCAGCAACAAGAACCCCGCATCACAAATTGGCGTCCGCGACAGGACAAAGTCGTTTGTTTTTCCAGTAGATTTTTTGACGCGGTTAACACGATGACGAACACGTGGGAGTTAATTGAGTTGGCGGATAAAATGGGACTGACGGGAGCGGAGTTTAGAGTATGGTACGAGGAGCGGATGGAGAGGGAGCGTGAGCAACGGGCTGCAGAACGAAAGGCGGCGAAGGAAAAGCTTGAATTGGTGCTTAGAGCTAAGAAGGAGGAGCTAGAGCGCGTAACGCGTGAAAATAAAGTGTTGCTAGAGCGTCAGACACGCATACTGAAGCAGCAGCTCCAATTAGAGAGGGTGGACTTCGAGCGGCGACTCGAGCTTGCGATGGCGAAAAGGGGGCAGCTGGCGATGCAGAAGGTCGAGCAAGCGGTGAATGTTTGCTCCGATAGCAGCGTTTGCTGGAGGGAAGTCGATTCCTGCAAGGTTGGCCTCGAACCTCGCGACAGCCTTACTTCGGAGCGAGAAGCTCAGATAGAGGAAGGCAGAGAGGTGGACAGCCAAGAAGGCAGGAGTCATGAGGAGTTTGTTGAAGCGACGGAAAGCTTCTCTGGCTGGGAACATATTACTTCCGTTAGCTGCTTGGGGACCTCTGAGAGGCCAAGCACCTATGAAGAAGAGCGCCTGGATATGGGCGACCTAGAAGCTGGGGAAAATGTTGTGGAGCAAAGCTTCGATAGCAGGGAACAAAGAAGTTCCATTCAGAATGAGGTGTGTATCAGAACGTCTCAAAGGCCGAGCACATTTCGGGAAGGGGTAGGGCTACCTCTCAATAGCTCCATGGAAGGAGCGCTAGAACGTCATTGGGAAGATGGCAGCGAATGCCATGAAGGCTCTGATATAGTGGCCACTGATTGTTTTGTACCGACAGAGGTAGCAGCAGGCACCACGTCAATGGTCCTAGACCATACGTATATCTCACTCAGAGAGAGAGGGGATTCTAGTTCACAGGATAGCGTAACTGCTATTTGTCCGAGAAAACACGATGGGAGTGCTGAAGCACTCTTCAAAATAAACAGTATCGAATCGGAGGTGGGCTCGATAGTAGGTATGGAGAATGCCAGACAGGGTCTTGAACCTGAGAACGTGATTGGTTTTGAACCTATAATTAAGTCCACTCAAGATGAGCTGTATAATGACCGAGCACAACGGCATCCCTTCTCAAGAATCCAGGAACCTCACACGCTTGTCGGAGCGTTTGGGCTTGCTGAGGGCACCCGAGCTTGTGTTCATTAGATGGTGAACTAAAAGAAAGCATTTGTGTGAGAGATTGTGGCATTTGGACATTCGTGTCTCAGTGCGTTTCGTGTCGACGCCGACGGCTCGAGACCGCGCCCTGTTCCTCTGTGACCGGTAAGCGTTCATGTGGCCGGCAGGGGCGCAGACACGCGTTTCAGCGAAAGTGCATAAAAGCATGTTTGCCACAGTTACTTTCGAAACGTGCGAGAAGGGCAGTGCGTCTGGTTTGGGACGCGATAACCTGAGTGTAGGGTTAGAAAACCGGTAGCTCTTTCTGGACTTCGACTTTTAGATGCGGACACAAGTAGCTTTGTCCATAGTCGATTTTGTAGTAAAAAGGTTTATTCCGGGTTTCAGAACTTTTAAATGCAATTGGGTGAATCTAAAGTTTAAGTGTGGACATTTGGACGATGTAGCGAACTGTAGCCCGGTGATGTGTTGAACTGCGTGGTGCAAATATGTGGTTTAATTGTGACGTAGTGCAGAACGCGCACTCATCGGCAGTTTTTTTTTTTTCCTAAAAAAAAAACTTGAATAAAAGGGGGGCGTATGTGATGTGTGGTGCGCGTTCAAAGTGCGCGCCTTCGAAAAGTGCGCGTCACGAAAAAACAAAAAAAAAAACAAAAGGAGAAATACCAGAGTGCACGTGCGGTGCTGCTTAAACAAGAATGACGACGTTAAAGAGCGTCAAGCACGAGGATGCGTGGCAGGACGTGAAGTAAACAAAAGGTAAAACATCCAATGGGCAGCGAACACGGAGATTTCAAGGCCCAATGGCTTGACACCACGAAACAGCAGTATCTCCAATGAGAACGAGACAAGTGGGCCAGAGCTGAAGCAGGAGCCTGAGGAGACCAGAGCAAGGGGAATTCGAGGCAGGAGTGCAAGCGGAAGGTCGTCACCGGACCGGGCGCTGAAGATGGGCCGTTGGGTTCCGGACCCGAGCCTACAAGGACTTCCACCGGCCGGGACCTCCTGCTGTCGGGTTCCCGCTCCAAAGGACCGTGGCCATCCGGTCCTGAACTCCTTTCCAGGGCCTGCGGACTTTGGTTCCGGCAGGCGAGCTACAGCCGTCGGGCTCCGGGCCCGAGCTGTGCGCCCAGCTGCTTGACTAGGTCGACCCTAGTTCCCGGACGCGTCGCCACCAGCCTGCGTTCTCCCGTCTCCGACGTGTCCACGCTCCTCAAGCCGAAACCATCACGATTTGGTAGGGCTTTTCGACGTGTCGCCAGCAGCCAGCGTTCCCTCGTCCTCGTCCAGCCCACGCATTGACGCAGGAGTCACGGCGTTCCGGTTTCTCATCACCGCCGAAAACCAACTTGTGGGTGAGACTGCACCGATACTCTTGCGCTACTCCATCACTCAGCCCCTTTCGAACGTTAGGTTTAGTTACTGACTTTGAACGTTCTTGTTGGGTGTTTACAGATGTGTTTCGTCATGTCCAGTCAACTGTTTATTAAGTGTTTTGTTTTGTGAGGAATCTTTGCCTTTTTACTTTTCAATTAAACTTTTTGTGTGTTTCTTGGAAACCGAACGGCTTTGTCCTTATTAACAAAACTCTCTGAGGCTCAGCCCGGGAGAAAAACAAATCAGCAACAAGAACCCCGCATCACAGTCGAGCACTTGAGTACTTTTCAATCGAATATGAACAAACGCACTAGTGGCCAAATAGGCAACACTGTCCCACCTGCGAGCCGTGGTGTAAAGTACAAGCACAATTGACCCTTTTCTTGTCTTTTCCTCTGAAAACTACCATTGGTTGACTGTATCATTAGCCCCATGAAGGCTGTGGAGAATATTATGCGAAACTTATCTAATAATCCTTTAGGTATATGTAATGCCCATTTGATGATGAGTGCAGCGGAATGCCTTTTAAAAAGCCTCTAAGCTGTTGTTTGTTCTCGTGCCCTGCAGGTCCACGGAGGCCACTGATGGGGGCACCGGGTGTGGACGAGGACGCCATCGATGCAACACTGGGCCTGGGGGAGCTGGCAGGCCTGACAGTCAACAACGAGGCAGAGTCCAGTTACGATGTGAGTGGGCCACATATATTTAACTTGTTCAAGTGAATATACAGTCGATGCCGGATATATCAAACTCAAATATATCGAAATATTGGTTAAATAAAAATTCCCTTGAATTTCCCATGCAAAAGTATGGGACCGGTGCACCCGCACACCGAACCCCCGCACAGCGGGACATTCACTATATCGAAAGCTGCCCTGCGCCGAAGCCCAAAAAGTGCATTTTTCCTAACAAATATTGATGCGTTTTCAGCCATCTTTTAATAAGTTATGATCCCTTTGCGTGCACAAGTCAGGAAGAAGCAGTATTATGCCGTTGCGCGTGGGCATAGTGTTTTTCAAGAAGATCGATTGCCAAGGACACCAAAATGAGAATGCGAAGTGACTCTGCGATCACGTTGCAATGTTCGCATTTCCTTCCTTGTTTTCTAACGTACAATGGCACACGTGCCTAAAAAGCACTGCCTTTGAGATGTGGACACTCGTGACATATTTTGACATATTTTGAGTGTTTTCTGTTTTAAAATGCACGTCTTGGAGGCTACAGTTTTTCTAGCTTTTCGCATCAAAGCAACTGAAAGCAGCGGCTGCTACAAAGGCACAAGTGACATCCATATTGCCAACATGTCGACTGTGGAAACTCGACGTTGTCCTTTGCACCGTTTGGACTTGTGTAGTTCTTGCTTCGTTCCTGATAAATCCTGATTCGGATATTGAACTGAACATTGACCCGCACGTTGCGATAACATTTATTAGTTCGTGCAAATAGTGAATTTTAGGTTCCAAGCGAATTCGAAGGGAATAGTGATTTTGGTTGAATGATTTCGAATCGAATTCAGATAGAATATATGATGTATAAAAAAATGGGTATATTTATTATGACCTAACCCGCACAATATTTTTTTAACTAGGCCTCTATGCAACAGTTTTTTATTCTTTTTTTTCCATTCAAAGGAAGTCGAAATAACTGAGAAGTAGCAGGATTGACTTTCATTAGGATGGAAGTGATAACCTGTAAAATACTTAGCATTATTCATTACAGCTAGAGTTATAAGCCCGCAAAACAAGCTTTTAAGCTTAAAAGATGATCAAACGATTTGAGGATAATATGTTCATTTAAGGGACTCTGCAACAGTTTTTCAAGTTGCCATGGAATGGATTCACTAAAGAAGGTTATTGTTTTATGAATGAACCGCCGCAAAAATTTTTAGAATCTGTCCAGTATGAGCGGAGTTGCAAAGATTTGCTGCATGCTGCAATTTTTTTTTTTTTTTTTTTTTTTTTTATTTGAAACAAAACCCGCAGCGCCACTTAGGCATTATTGCGGGGGGCACAGAGCCTCATAAAATGAATCCGCAGTCTTGCGGCCAACTACATCGGCTGGTAACGTGTTCCATTCAACAATGGATTGCGGAAAAAAAGAATGCTTAAAAAGATCCGTTCTGGGGTTGTATGGCCGTACTTTAAATTTGTGATCATGACGGGAGGATTGATAATACGCTTTTTTTAAATAATCTGAAGCATTAATGCCCGTTTTATTGTTATATATCGAATAAAATAGTTTTAATCTTAGATTACGTCTTCGATCTTGTAAGTATTGCCAATTAAGTTCTCTTTTCATACAACGGGAGCTTTCAGTTCGGCCATATTTTCCCAGAACAAATCTTGCTGCCATCGACTGAATGCGCTCTAATTCATGAATATGTATTTTGTTAAACGGATCCCACACAGGACAGGCGTATTCTAGTATTGGTCTCACATAGGCATAATATGCGGCCTGTTTAACCTCCTTGGTTACATGTTTAAGATTTCTTTGTAAAAAGCCTAGGGCTTTTCCCGCTCTACTTACAACATTGCCAATGTGCTCAGACCATCCCCCATCCTCAGAAAGCGTGACACCCAAATACTTATATTTGTGTTCATACCTAATAACTTCATTGTTTAATATGTACTGATTTGTAAATCTATTAACCTTTTGGTGAAACTGACGTGAACACATTTATTCGTGTTTAATACCATGTCATTATTTTTACACCATGCCTCCACGTGATTAAGGTCATCCTGAAGCTGGGTGGAATCCGTTTGGTCGGTCAATTCAGTATACAACACACAGTCGTCAGCAAACATTCTGATACGACACCTAATTGTATCCGAAATATCATTAATAAACACAAGGAAGAGAAGCGGACCGAGTACGGAACCCTGAGGTACCCCTGATGTCACCGAAGCTAAACACGAACAAGATCCACCAAGCACAACCTTTTGTTTTCTTGAAGTTAAATAGTCCGCAATCCAACGGCAAATGGTTTGATGAATGTTCAAGTTCTGCAGTTTTTGAATCAGAATAGAGTGTGATACCGTATCGAAAGCCTTTCTGAAGTCTAAAAATAAACAATCAATCTGTCCTCGATTATCTAAAACTGATGCTATATCATGATAGAATTCAATTAATTGGGTTGTGCATGAAAAACCCTGTCTAAATCCGTGTTGTTTAGGATTAAAAAATTTAATTGAAGTCAGGTGATTCATTAAAGCAGAAAAAAGAACATGTTCAAGTACTTTACAACAAATCGGCGTCAAAGAAATTGGTCTGTAATTTGATACGTCTGATTTAGAACCACTTTTGAAAACTGGCACAACATTAGCTATTTTCCAATCATCAGGAAGCTTGCCTTCATCGAGTGATTTTTTATAGATAACATAAAGGTAACGAGCCACTGCCTCAGAGCAAAGTTTTAAAACTCTTGGTGATATGCCATCAGGGCCAGTTGCTTTACCTTCGTCAATGCGCTGTAACAACTTCATTATGCCATTGAATGAAAGCTCTATCTCACCCATAGGCAAATATTGTTCTTTTTTATTCGTGACAATCACTTGTGTAGGTGGGCGGAAGACCGATTTAAAGAAGTCGTTAAAAAGTGTGGCTTTATCTCGATCCTCAATTACAATCTCGCCACCGTAACGTAGGTTTGGTGGGCTAACCTTCTCAGTACCACATCGTCTCATATATTTCCAAAACCTTTTCTTATTAGAAAAGTCAGCGGCCAGACTCTTAAAATACTTTTTCTTGGTTTCTTTCAGTTCCATTTTATAAAGTGATGTCAAATCTTTCATTTTATTAAAATTTTCAGGGGATTTTTTTTGGCAGTATCGGGAAAAAGCCCTCTTGCGCTTTTTGATAAGCTGAATAAGATGCCCCTTAATCCAAGGTTTCTTAATTTTACTCAGTTTATCGCTTGAGACGCTCGGGACGTGACGCCGAATGAGCCCAGTAATGCGTTCCTTAAACACTTGCCATAGCTGCTCAACAGTTGCTTCGTCTGCACTGCATTCAAAAGACAGAAATTGTTGCTCAAGACCAGCTGATATTTGCTGATAGTTTGCTTTACTATAAAAGAAGATTCTCCTAGATTCGCATTTCTTTGTATTTACCCGAGATCTTGTCAGCTTTGCAAAGACGGCGTTGTGATCACTAATACCGGGAATAACGTGTGTTTCATTAATGACATCAGGGGTATTACAAAACAACAAATCCAGAATGTTGTCACCTCGCGTAGGACTGGAAACATACTGCATGAGGCCGAGCACGTCAGTCAACGTTTTCAATTCACAGTATGTCGCTGCCTGAGACTTTAAGACACAATTACCGTTATTCCACTCAGCATCCGGTAAATTAAAGTCACCAGCAAGAACGACACATTCTTTAGAAAATGTGCAGGCAATTTTTCTCAGCTGACGCATAACATTCGGTTCAAAGACAGGAGGCCGATAGAAAGCACCAACAATGAAACTAGAACGATTACTTTGCACTACTCGGCACCAAACAGATTCAGTTTCATTGTTATCAATAAAAATTTCTTCGGACATCAAAGAATCCTTCACAAGAATGAAAACACCACCACCATGCGTTGACCGGTCTTTTCGATATGTTTGAAAATTGCAAGGAAACATTTCAGAGTTCGAAACTGCTTCGTCAAGCCAAGATTCTGACCCAATGACTAAGTCAGCGTTCACTGACCCAATAAGGCCACCCAGCTCATCAGCTTTATTCTTAACACTTCGGCAATTCATCATCAGAAGGACAATATCTCGGGCACCTTGGGGCTTTTGTCTCACTTCTTTGTTATCGCGTCACGAACGTCTTACTTTTGTGACATCTTGCGCAACGCTATCCCAAGTGTAAGTCCTACCGTCAATGATAAGCTTATCAAAAGAAAGTTTCACTGTGTGACCATCTGCTTTTTTTGATTTTGCATATTCCCATAAGTGCTTTCTTTTTTCGCGCACCTGCTTGGAATAGTCGTCACTGATTGATAAGCCAGAATCTTTCAATTTGTGTGCATTTTTGTAGAGATCAGCTTTTTCTCGAAAGTTGTAAAGCCGTAGAATGACTGGTCTGTTCTTCCCCCGCTTCTTTGCTCCAATGCGGTGAATTCTTTCAACACTCATTAAGGTGACACCCATTTTAGCAGTAAAAATATCGTCAAGAACAGTTTTACGAAGTGATTCAGTTGTTTCACCAGTACTTTCTTTCAACCCATATACAACCAAATTATTACGTCTGCTTCTGTTCTCAAGATCATCGAGTTTCACTTGCATCTCAACAATGCCTGCCGATATTCGATCCACTGTTTTCTCACAACGTTCAAATTGTACACTTTTACCGGCAAGGCATTTTAATTCACTTTCAATTGAGTCTAACCTCTGATCCGTAAGAGCAATGTAGTCGTCGAGCTTCTTTCTAATTGTTCCCATCACCTCAAGTATTTCTTTTTGACCTTTAAGTAGCTCCTGCATTGCAGAATCATTAGGGCCCGGGTTCATTTCAATGTCCCCACTCAGAAGCAATACCAACATACACGCAGCATCAAAGCACTCGGCCACTCCATCACAAAAGGCTCTTGGGCAAGGCAACACCACCAGGCACCGGAAACTCGTGGTGCATTTGGAATAGGAATGTTTTTTACTACCCTGCAGAACGTACAAGAGCAGATTATTCCGTGGCCGCATGCTGGCGGTGAAACCCTGCCCAATGCCGCTGTAAACGTGGGGGGCGTATCTCGAGGCCTCGCCTGTCGCTGTCGATTTGGCTGTGTAGTTCAAAGCACCGGAAACCAAAACTTGAGCTGGCCACCGAATCCAGGAAAATTCATCTGTGCAGCAGAATTCAGGACTGCGCTGATTGGCGTCGGGTGACAAAATCACTGGCAGCAGGCTTTCCGGTGACCATCCATCCGATGATAACCCCAGGCACAAGGCGAGAATCTGCAGAACGTACAAGAGCAGATTATTCCGTGGCCGCATGCTGGCGTTGAAACCCTGCCCAATTGCATTCTCTCTTCTCTTCCCGACGAAAGTGCTTGAAGGAAAGGCGGGAGGGATGGAGTAGGGAAAGAAAATGTGTCACGTGCGTGTTGTGACCTTGAGCATTTTTTTTTTTAATATGCAGCTTTCCAGTGCGATAGCGCATGTACTTGCGGACATGTCGCGGCCACCCTAGCGGCCCTAGTAGCGACCGAACGCCCCATGCTCAAATCAGCCAATGGCTGATGCAATGGCTGTCACGAGCGATTTTCACATTGTGGCGTCATTTGCTGAGAGAAGAGAGTAATGTTTATCTGACTTTGGAGTGTAATATATGTGAAATAAATTATATTTTTTTCTTTCTTTCTTCAATGAATAGCACTAGTGAAAGTGGGATCCCCGCAACAGTTTTTCAAGTTTCTTTATTTGCAGATTTCAGCCACGAAAGAGTCGTTCAGGAAAACGTGGAATGCCAAGTACACTCTCAGAAGGTCAGTTGCATTTTCTCTTTTTTTTTTTTTGCTAGCAATTGCGTGTATCATGATCTATTGTCAGTGCCTCCTTTTTTTTTTGATGATTCGTCAGTTAAAGCAAGGACAAGAATATTTTATTTGCAATAGCTGGGCATCCCAATTCTTTGTTGAAAGATGTCTGCAGTGCCAAATCAGCCTAATAAGGGGCTGCGTTGCAAATGCATCATTTCCTTCAATAGTGCTCTTTTGGACTGCTGGTGATTCAACATTTTTAGCGACTACAATAGGTTGGTTAGAAAACAGGAATGGAAATGAATAAATGAGGGAGACTGCATACTCACTTGAACAATACTGTGTGTTCCCCACTGAAATTCATCTTATTCAAGGCTGAGACTTGATGCTACGTGTTAAGAATAATCATTGAACTTTGAATGCTTCATTACCAGTGGTACAAACGGAAAGTGATGCCTAAGAGGGCGGTATTTTTTCCCGTTTAATTCTTCATGTTGTCATGCCATTTATGTTTATTTTATACCAAGGCAATTGGCTGCAATGGTAAAACAGAGCGAGCAGTCTGTATGACCAAAGCGTTGTTGTAATTGATGGATTCATCGGATTCTGGTCTTGTCCCTGTACACATGCTCCAGTGTACTGTACAATGTTCGCGCACATTCAACGACACCAGGTGGTCGAAATTTCCACAGCCCTCCGGAACGGCGTCCCTCATAATCGTGTTGTGGTTTCGGGACGTTAAATTCCAGAGGTTGTTATTTAGATATGCCAATTTACTTCACAACTCTCATTTTAGGGTAAACACTTCGACCCCGGGGTGCATCACGTTACATAAAAAAAAAAAAAAAACACCTGCGCAACGCAGTAGAAAAATAATTGTGTGATTGAAATCTGCTCGCGAATATACATGCACTGTGCACAAGTTCTATTAAGACTGATCGAGAGTTAAACGAGTTTCAGGAAGCGGTGTCCACTTTTCGGAAGACTGGCAGTATGAGAAAGCAGTATAAGGGGTAGCGGCGTGGCCGCTGTGCTTGTGTTTTTCTTTTTGTATCTGCAAGAGCTAGAGCTGTGCTTTCAGATAAAGCGCCATTCTTTGTAGTGCTCAGAGAGATTTTGTATCTTCCATATGACAGTCTCTCAAATGCATTCTCCTTCCCTTCTAACCTTGCTTCGTCCTGTGTGTTGCTGCAGCCACTTTGACGGCGTACGTGCGTTGGCATTCCATCCTGTCGATTCAGTGCTCATTACGGCATCGGAGGACCACACGTTGAAACTTTGGAACTTGCAGAAGACAGTGCCCGCCAAGAAGTGAGTAGTAGTAAAGACTGTTGCAGTGTGTACTGCTGTGCGTTGGAATTTTTTTTTATTCACCTTTGATCATGAAAGGGACACTAAAGTCAACTATTAAGTTGACATTGATTGTTGTAATTGCGGTCCAAAAACCTAGTAGTGTTACTTTTGTGCCAAGGAAGAGCCTATTTTGAAATAAAATCACGTTTAGTGCTTCGCTTCGGTTTAGCGCACTTCAAATTACCGGCCTCAAGAAACGGACTGACCGAACACTCGCGTCACTGTTGTCGTACACAACGTTGCCCGACTTTACCGCGCTAGTAGCAGCATACCAAAAGCAGTGGGAGCCACAGGAGCAACAACGGCCATTGATCAATTTCCCGCCATTGGCTTCGCATTTGCAGACGCTTTTGTTTCAACTGCGCCCCGCTAAATGGCACCACCTGTCCCGTGTCACCACGGGAAAATTGAATTTTCGAACCACTCATGTTGTTCGCCATAGTAACGTGCGGCGCTTCTTTTTCCCATGAATTGAACAGAAACCAACAAGCAGCATTTTATTGTGTCTCTTGAAGCACTGAAGGTTCTTTATTTAGTGCAGTTACAGTCGCCGACCGATTTTCCGGACTCCAAAAATTCGGACTTGTTGAATATTCCGGACTTCATAAATGCACCGTCAAGGATTCCATAGAGCTAATGCATTGTTTCGACCGATTTTTCGGGCGAATTTGCCCCTGAAAGTTCGATTTTTCGGACTAAATCGCTCGTTTTGTGCCACGCCCCAAGCCATTGTAAACGCCGCCATGTTGGATTTTTCGTCGGCTTGGCTAAGCTTGGTCTTCAGATGCCTTTCCTGCCTCCGAGATTGGAATGCGCACGCCATATTTTAAGTTTCGGAGGCCGTGTTTGCTTTTTAAAAGACGCGGTGATGGATGCCGTTTTTTCGTCTTCGGTCAGCACTATCGTCATCACATCGCACGGGGAGGAGGCGAAAGAAGGATTCTTTTATTGTCGTTGCAGCTTTTTTCAGTCGCCATTCTGCACGTGTTGTGTCGCATAGCGTCGAGACGTTGTGTGCTTCGCAGCGGCTATCTACGGCATCGAATTTTGTGTTCTCGGTGCCATGGCTCCTGCTATCTGTGCCATCGCGGGAGCCAGGTGGTGTGAAGAAGCGTGGGAAGTATACTACTCTGACGATGGAGAAGAAAGCTGCCATAATCAAGCTAATAGAGAGTGGACGTTCGCAGCTAGATGTCGGCGGAGATCGCCAACGCGGTGACAATTTTGTCGAGCGTTTACGGCGACGATGTCACCTTGGCGCAAATACGGGCAAACCAAATTGCCTCCAAGCGTAGTTTGAGGCAAGGCAGCATCAAGGACTTTTTTAAACCTGCCTGATGCAATAAACTTCAGATTTTTGGCGAAAACGAATTTTTCGGACTGTTCGATTTTTTCGTACTTTTTTTCGGTCCCTGCCAGGTCCGAAAAATCGGTCGGCGACTGTATATCGATTACTAGTGATTAATTGTAGGTGGTCCGTCTGATGTCATCGGGATCATTTTGAAGATGTCCTACTGCGGCGCTTGTGTTCTTCTGCATTTACCTTAATTTCTTAGTAAGTAGGGCACTGTTGTTGATAATATTCAATACTTCGATATTTCGCGATTCTTTCCGCGCAAATTGACAGCCGTTTTCGCGCTTCCGCATGTGCACGGAATGCATGCTGTCGAGTGCGAAGTGAGTGAGAACAAGTCCTAAACACGAAACGAATCTCAAATTATCAGAGTAGGTAGGGTAGCGTACGCGCATGCACTAGACGCAGACTATTGCGTACAGTTGGTGGCCAACAATGTTGGCAAATGGTGTGGTCACTCCAGGCCGGCGACGGCAACGACAGTATCAGCGATCAAAAACAGGGTAGATGGCCGACCGGTCTTCCAAAGATCGGTGGCAGTGTGAAAACACGGGCCTCGTCTGTCGATGCGGGGTGCTCAGAGTTGCAGGGGGACAAAGAACGGAGGGGTGCATAACGCAAAGCTGCCTGGGAGAGCGGCCACTAGAGGGGCGCGGAGGCAGGGTCGGCGTTTAACAATAAGAATGTATGGGCACCTCCCCGATGCCTGATCCGTGGTCGAAATTAAAGTTTCCCGGGAAGTCGGTGGACCGCTGACTTCGTTCACTGTAACCGATCAGCGGCGCTCAGAGACGTTCGTCGTAAGTGCGATTTTGTGCCATTGAACCAATGCATATTTTCACGGTCACGCGGATATTGTTCGTTTTAAGCGAAAGTTTGTTTTAAGTGGGGCCGTTATATGTGGGCTCGACTGTCATTGAATTTGACTAAAAAAAATCAACTGGGAGGTGACCGATCCCAAAGGTATTGCCGTACACAACAGCGAGGAAGCCTTCGGCTTCCTCGCAGTTGTGTACGGCAGTTGTGTACGGCAGTTGTGTACGGCAGTTGTGTACGGCAGTTGTGTACGGCAGTTGTGTACGGCAATACCTTTGGGATCGGTGACGAATGAATGCACATACAGGGTCTGTTTTGATAAATTCTGTCAAAGGCGATGAACTTAAGCTAGTCTTGTCTCTTAGCAGATTCTCCCCAAGGTCTTGGAGACTCTGAAGAGTTAATATGTCACAGAGATTAAAACACGAAATGTTTATTAAACTTATTGCCAAGTTTATGACACTGGCCCACTTGGAATTGCATGCTCGCACTCGGCATGTCTTTGACCAGTGTTTCACACCAGAACAGTTCTCCCCGTGTCAACAAGTGTTGAAAAACGTTGACAGTACACAATTTCACTATTCTGCTTAGACGTGCGTGTTCGAGCACGTGCGAGTTTATGCATGCGCATATGTGTGTCCTTGGACACAGCATGAACTATGCAAGTGGGATGCTTTGTGTTTTCTGACCAATGTAAAAGTAGTACAGTCCAACCCCCTTGAGACACTGATGTAACGGACGTATTGTACGAGTATTAGACGTATGGGTATTAGTAAGGCCAGTGTGTGCACACTAAAATAAGGGTCGATCAGATAATGGATACGTGGTTCCCTGCTTATAAGAGTCAAGAATTATACAGAAGACAAGAATTGCTCCCCAGTGCACGTCTCTTCTGAAAGGGGTTCAGCTATACTTGTCAATTCACCATACCCCCAAATTTCCCTTTAACAAAGTCTCATCTCATGTTACCTCATTATATCTGAGCATACAGACATTCACAACACCGTGTCTGTGACCAGACTATTCATTTACTTCTTCATAACTGATAATTTGTTATACTTGTGCCCTTTATTCTGACATTTGATTGTAATAGGTAGTGCACAATGTTCAACTGTTGGTGTACATACGCTGTGTTCACTTCAAGTACATGTGCACCTTGATTGAGCTTCCCGTCCAACGTTTTCAGCTCGCTCTGTCATAGCGCATCGCCATTGGCTGCGAGAAGCACGTGAGCATATTTGCATGAATGTAGGTGCAGCCTTAGTTTTTTTTATCCCTAGTGGCTTCTTAGGTTGTCTTTCGTAAGCGCGAACACATCTCCACATTGTTTTTTTTTTTCTCTCTCCACTCGCAGGACGGCAGCGCTAGATGTGGAACCGGTCTACACATTCAGGGCGCATTCGTGAGTGGACTTTCCTTTTGTTTCGGAGAGCATGTCTTGGGCTTTCTCTCTGCAGCCCATCCCTTCATGCATTTGTGTTTTATGCTTGCAACAGGCTTCAGAGTTTTTTCTGGAATTTCTTCACAGGAACAGGAGTTTGTGTCACTTGTTATATTGGAACAAAGTATGCTGCTACTTCTTACTAGGCAATTTTGAAGAGAGACAGGGACCTGAAATTAATTTATTGCTTGAGAGCTCTCATGGACATAAGAAGTCCACTGGGTGGGGACATGCGTCAACCAGTTGCGATGCCCCCTCGGAAATTCCATCTAAAAATGTCTCGCTGCGCTAAAGCTTTTGTTTAAAGCGTTTTCCCAGAACTTTTGAAATTGTTGGACATGTATTTGAGTGATGGATCTGCCAGATAAGCCTGCATGTTTCCTTGGTTTGAGTTACTTTGTTTTCTTTCTCCAAGCTGTTTAAGCCTTGTAATGCGTAGCCAGGCATTGCTGTAAATGCGGGCAGTGCTTGCCAATTTTATGAAGTGTTACACATGTATTGATTGATTGCGCTACCACCTGACATAGATGTATATTGGTTGGTTTGTATTTGGTTGTACCCTTTCTGTAAGAGCCCTCAGAAAAAGGGCTGACAGTATTATGAAATAAATAAATAAATAAATAAATAAATAAATAAATGTGAAATTCTGCACCATATTCACTGGCATGTTTTGGCACGCTGCAGTTCTGCAATTGTTTTTTGTGTACTTGCAACAATTTGTACTCAAAGTGACTCTGTTCTGGGAGATGCTGCCAAATGAGGCATTGAATGATCTTGTAAGTCATATGGGGGTGTGTGCAAAGTGTGTTGTCTTAACATGACAGACGTGCCATCCTGTTGTGCTGTGACAGAAAAATGCATCGCCATGCTGTGCACTCATGGTGTGCACACATGCTGATTCAGCCTGACAGATTTCTCGTCTTGATGAAGTGCTTGTTCCTCCATACTGTTTAACCTATGTGTACAGCAGTCAGATTGTGAAATCATGGTTGTCCTCTGTGTTGGTGGTCAACGTGTCTCTTGTGTGCTCTGTGTGCAGGGGCGCCGTTTTGTGCCTGGTGATGGGTGCAACGGGGGAGCAGTGCTTCAGTGGGGGCTTGGACCACACCATCCGCTGCTGGAATGTGCCCAGCTCGACCATTGACCCCTACGATTCCTTCGGTGGGTTCCTTCCCTTGCAGCTCCTTCTGCCCTTTCTTGTCCTAGTCCTCCTTTTCTTTTGTTTGATCATATTTTCTTGCGTGTAGCACGCTGCTGTATATAACTCGCCCAGTGTGATAACATGTAGAAAAATTGTGTGTGTCACTTACGCCGTGCGGTTGATTTGAAACTTCGATAAAAATACCTTCTACTAACTATGGTCAAATAGTTCAAAATCTTTAGTTTCACTCAATTTATTCACCAGTGTTATTTCCATCTTCTTGCCTGCCGTCATTATCGGCCATCATGTCCCCAACCACCTTTATTGCGTTCCGCGAAACATTGCTGTGAATTACTTTGCACTATGAAATTTACGTATAACCTGCACCCCAGCTTTAGCTCCAAATTTTATGCATTTTCTGTGCGTGTTATACGTGAGAAAACATGATATACCTTGTTAAGACATGATCAGAGGATCTGTTTTAAGATGATACGAAGGAGGAAGTCTGAAAAAGAGTATGGAGGGGCATTGTGTAATTGCATTCGCCTATTTTTGCAGGGACGTGAATAAAACATTTACTGTTTACAGTCATGGCAGTGCTAGCACACTGGTGCAGTGGCTCATGAATGAAAACTACGTTTGACTTTGGTCGTAGATGCTGTCCATACAATGTATAGTAGTGCCTTTTGGCAGCAGTTTCAGCCCTTCTTCACTTCATTTTTTATTTCCTTAAGGGCCCCCTCAAGGGGGGTATTACATAAGGGGTGGGGTTACAATTGGGCGACATATATACATAATGATAATACACAATTATACATACAGAAAAATTATACGTAAACAATATATATACATTTGTAATTATGCACATCAACCAGATATGCATATAATTAGTAGCCACATATAAACATAAGAGTAAATTAGTGCTTAGGTTCCCCTGGTGAGGCACGAACTCACGACCCTGGCATCCTGCTTACTAAGATCGTGTCCTGTTGTCTGCAGAGCCTGGTGTCCTGTCGGGGACCTTGTGGGGACACACAGATGCTGTGTGGGGCCTGTCCATGCATGCGACCAAACTGCAGCTCCTGTCTTGTTCGGGTGATGGAACAGTGCGGCTCTGGTCCCCGCACAGTAAGGTGCCCCTGCTCCACACATACACCGCCCCAGACCCAGGTAAGGTGTACTTCTGGGCGGTGTACCGCTGGGAGGTGTACTGCTGGAAATGTGTATTGCTGGGATTCTGGCATATTTGTGTGCAAAACTCGTTCTAACATGCAATTAATTGCAGCAAAAATTGCCACCTTTTGAAGGCACCAGAGTAATTGAGGCGTCCATAGCTGCCTAATAACTTGTCAGTATTGGTGAGGGTTTTTTTTTTCTTTCCATTTTTATGGTGCCAGCAGACAAAACTTAATATTTGCATGTGCTTTTAGCCTCTGCTTGAGTTATTTCTAAAAATAAAGCATGTACAGAAGAGAATATTTAATTATTCTGTGCTTGGAAAAACTGGAAATTTTCAAAGTATACGACACCACACTAATGTGCAAGGTCTGGGTACTGAAGTTATTTGAATAGTTTGGTTTTTCCACTCTTCTTTACTCAGCTGACGGCACTCCAACATCTGTAGACTTCGTGCGATCAGACTCCACCCAGATGGCGGTGGCATACACGACATCTCGTTCTGTCATCATGGATCTGGAGACGGGCAAGCAGGTGGTGCGGCTTGAAAGCGACCAAAATCCAGGTGAGAGTACTGTTGACAAGTTGATTTTTGTGTCTCACTGGTGCGTTTCAGTGCCGCCATATTGTGCTGTAGGGTTGTCGTTCTGCATCTTCTGCAACTAAACGAATGGTTCTACAATAGGTGCATACCTGTGAAAACTGTTGAGTTGGTGCATTTGATGTGCCATGACTTTATTAACCTCGTGATATACAAAAATAAGAACATTTGTCTAACAGCTCATGGTGGCAGTGGCCATGTGTTCTGTTTGAAATCAATCGTCTATACGCCTAGTGCACTACCTGTAGATGCGTTACTGATAGACACCTAGTGGCCACCGGCAACAGTATGTGCGGGAAGCCAAGCAGAAGACAACACTGTACAGCTTTGCTGCGAGGAGATGGATCAAGTTTGCGGCTGCTACTTCCTCTTCGTTCATGTGCCAGACAAACGATTCTGCCTTGACAGATGCAGGAAAGGCGCAAGGCTCTATGCAACTGGATGTGTGAATGGTTTGTGTCACAAATGAACGCTTTGGTAAGGGCATGTTGCCAATTTTAAAAGAACATGTGAACTCTGTGCCGACAGATCGCAAGCATTTAAAAACAACTGTATGAATAGACTCCAAAAGCAGGCCTCTCTGCAAAACATGCTGTCAATACAGTCTAATGCTCGGGCGAGATCAGGGGAATTTGACAAATTAAGTGGTGCTGTCTTATTTCACAGATGAATCTGGGAAAAGGGTGCTGTACGGAGACTAATCATGCGGAAGCTTCCTGAATCCAGGTGTGAGCAGCGTTGTGGGGGAGGGACAGTCAGCGAGAAATTTGTCAGCGAAGGAGTCATGTTGTTTAGGTGATAGTGTAGCCTGCTCGACCAGAGAATACCTGCTCTGTGATGTAGTGCGGCCACTTAGAATTTGAAGTATCGAGAGATGACGCCGTGGGAGCAGTGACAAGCTTTATAAAGGGTCGCGTAAGAGAGATGTAATGACCAAATGCGAAGGATAGCTAACAGTCCGCACTGTTGTCTATGCGGAGCAGGTAAATATGAAAGGAACGTCCTGCAGACGAACATAGCAAGGTTTGGCTGTGAGGTGCAACTCGTGGTGAACATTTGCTTTGTTTCGTTTACAAATGCATCGTCTCAATAGCTTTTTGTTCTTTCCTAAGTCAACCACTGCTGCGTTGCTGAAATAATACAGAATGTTTGAGCGAAATGCCTTTGGCAGTTGAACCGTACCAACGCATGCTCAGGCTGAAATAACTTTAATCGCCTACCAGTGTTGGCATGATGCATCTATCGTGCTGTTATATGGCAGTACGAAAGTTTGAGGTCAAGAAGCGACACAATAACTTGCACAATGTCGGAGCGGCTCGTCTGTTGCAATGCACAGCGGCGATACATTGGTGCCGTTGCTCTTGATCGTGAGGCTGTGTGGTAAATTAGTAAAACAAAGTTGCGGGGCAGCTTTTTTTTTTTTCTTTCTGTTTCCTTTTTTCTTCAACATCCCTTGAAAATCGGGTTGCTTATTTCACTGCATGAATGTGAACAACGCAGAAACACAAGTACGACAACGTAGGTAACTACGGCGGCCGTCTGCTTACTTTCCCTAGAGTAATTGGCAAGTTTGCTACCTATGGTGCTTCCATTGGCATGCACTCAGTGCATAGGCAGTGTGCCTTCCAAAGATGCTCTTCAAAAAGCTCACTATGTGTGTGGGAGCATTGACACTGGCACGCTGAAGCACTGTTTTTACAAAAAGAAGGAATGAAACAGTACCCAATTATTTGGTCCTTTTTATGTGCATGGATTCTTGTAACACGTTGAAGAGAGAGGACACAGGGGATGTACTTGCCAGCTTGTGTTCTTTGGCTTGTCTGTGCCTCGAGCACTAGTAGTACAGCATACGTGTGGACGGGACTGCCGTTTTACATGATATCAACAGCTCACATTTCAAGCTTGGCAGTAGTACAAATACTGTGTAGACCACTTATAACGTAACTGCTTGTAGTGCAGAACCGCTTACAATGCGGTCTTTTTCAACTCCCGTTTACCCTCTCATAGAACCCTATGTATACGCATACTGCTTGTTGTGCAGCCCCAAGATGAAACACTGGTTATAATGTGGTTGCCGGAAATTGTTTGTGACAAACGCGGCAGCGAATAGCGCTGGGTGCGCCGCTGGAGAGCGAACGATGTCTTACAGAGGAGGAGGGAGCACGAAGTGAATGAACCAAGGGCCGAAAGAATAAAAAGAAAATAAAAAAAGGAGAGAGACCGCAGGACACTGCGTGGGCTCGCCAAGTAGGGAGGACAGTTGCCTCGGTGGCCGATAAGCTTTTGCACCGGCACCAACGCGGCTACGGCGTACTACGTTGCTAGCGTGGCTTCGGCTGCGCACCGCTCAACGTGGCATGTGCAATCCCGTCCTTATAAACTGCATATGCGCTTAAGTTTCCCACCGGGCAAGACGTCGTCGTTGTCACGCTTGCAACAAATAGAGAGATTTAGAATAATGTTTTCAGGAGCTGTGGCCGTTGCGGGCACAGCGGGCGGTGTGGGCATTTCGGGCGCCATATGAGCTTTAGAATAGCGTTTGCTCCCCCTAGATGAAATTCTAGGGACTTTTGGCCTGAGTGCGAACCCAAATGCTTGGAAGCTACTCACTGAACTTTGCGGGCCTCGCGGGCCGCGATTGCCGCACGCTATTTTGAATTTTCTGCATTCGGGTCTCAAACGTGGATGGCGACTCGCGTTACGACGCGTGTGCTGTGGCAGCGACCACATTGCAAGGGCTCGCGGTGCGCTGTTCTATCGTGTTTGCTTCCTCTTCCGTAAATTGAAAACCTTTTACGGTTTTGAGGCGAGCTTTCACTTTTGTTGCCAGTGCGCTGTCGTTCGTAAAAGCATGGCGAGTTGTCGATCGTCGTTGCTGATCTCCCGTCCCAGAACGCGAACTTGTATCACGCACACGGTTCTTGGTTCACTGCTAGTGCGATCTTTTTGATGCCAAATCGTCATGTTTTGGACAAGTTTTCTGCAACAACTTACCAAACGGCAAGCTAGGCTTTGATCGGTAGCGTTTGCGTGAATCTAAGTTGCGCTTTGGTACTGAATCTACGAAACATATTGCGGTGGCCACACTTTATGGGAAGGATTACATAGGGTTAACTGAAAACGAGTGGGGCTGTGTAGCGCTCAAATAGTAGGACGGGATTAGACATAGTTTCTGTGTAATGCGCATAATCGAGGCGGTCTGGTAGTCGGCGAATTTACCACTCTCCCCCCCCCCCCCCCCCCCCCTTCGCATTCATTTCATTGGCAACACATGTCTTTGGACATGAAATTCTTTTAACATTCAGAAATTCTCGGACACGCAAAGCTGCATGCTCAACATGTTTTGCACAAGTGCGGCCCTTGAAAATGGTTGGTTTGGTTATAGCGCGGTACCGTTTATAGTGCGGATATTCGTGACTCCTGTGACTTACGTTATAAGCGGTCTATACTGTAGTAGTAGAAGAATCACAACAACCTTTTTTCTCCTCTCCCAGATGCGAGTGCCCTGAGCAAACAGATCAACTGTGTGGTGAGCCATCCGACCCTGCCCATGACGGTGACGGCGCACGAGGATCGCCACATTCGCTTCTTCGACAACAACACTGGTATGTGCATCGCTGAAACGCATGGAATTTACTTTGTCAGGTTGTCTCCAAGATGTTTTTCTAGCTATCATTTTACTGTTACAAGGATTCTCTAGGCAAGCTTGCCTCAAATTGTTCACACTGGGGATGAGTAGTGAAATGTCGCTCGGGCTTCATTTAGCTATTTAGGAATTTTGCTGCTTATGAACTTGCTTCTTTTGCATAACATTAACTTCTTCAGCTGACCACTTTAGACGAGTAAAGGTTGCAAAAGCATTGTTGATGCCGTGCCTCCTGTGCAGTTGTAGTCTTCGCTGCTTGCATGAAAGTCATGTTAATTTTGCTGCTCAGCAGGTGCTGTTTCCACATCTGCTGTATTCAGCCATGATTCGCCACTCACTTGGCTCTTTTGCGCCGAATGCAGGCAAGATGGTGCACTCCATGGTCGCCCACTTGGACGCAGTGACCAGCCTGGCCATCGACCCCAACGGCCTTTACCTTCTTTCGGGCAGTGAGTGGCACCATTTCCTTGCGTGGTCTGACAGGACTGTTCCTTTTATCCTATTCAGCATCGCCATCACACTTTGATATATATGTACTTTGTACCGTTATACCAGCTGTGTGAGGAATAATTAACCTGATGCGTTTCAGACTTCAATGAAGCAGTTTTCTTGAAGAGCTGTGGCCATTGCCCTCTGCATTAACACTGCTACGGCACTGCGATGCTTACTACTAGTGTGCATATTGCATTCCCAGTTATGGTGACCAGATTTCAATGAGGGCAAGTGACGAAAAAAAAGCTATGTGCTTAGATTTTGATGCGTGCTTTAAAATTCTGTGGCACGTCTTATAATCATCTTGTGGTTTTGGCTCAAGAAAACTCCGGGATTCAAGTCGTGACAGCTGAAAGATCTTGCAGTAATCCAGTTTGTCTCAATGTCTCAATGTCTTGCAGTAAACCATTTGTCTCAATGCCCGGTACGCTTTTGACACAAAGTACCCAAATGTCTCTCGGATAAGATACTGAAATATCTCAGGCTTATGTTTTCAGACACTGTGTGAGGGTTTAAAGCAGCTTCAGGCCTTTTCTAAGTTATCTTTCGACATTCTTTCGCTACCGTGTGTTGTCCTCCTTTAAGGGGGGACATGGGTCTTGAAGATAACGTTGGTTATTTTTTCACCAAATTAGATGAAACTGCACAGCCTTGTTCAGTTTCCTGAGCTCATTTTAACTATCCAGGTATATTTTATGCAGGTTAATTATTTTCTGAGATTAGTAATTACATTGTATTTCTTGTGGAAACAATGCAAATTTATGTACATAAAAATTATATAGTCTTTAACACATATATGGAGACTAGAAAGCCTAAGGAGTGCAATGCTGCAAGCTGATCGAAAATTGAAAAGTACTTCTCGGATTATAGCACAATAACGTTCACTGTCTGCATGTAACCAAAAACAAAAAAAGAAATTTTATGACAATTAAAAAAATTGGAGCTGCATATTAAAAATCTGATCTCAATGTTGCTTTCTGTGCACATTTAACTACATTGCACAAAAAGAATTATAGCTATAGCTGTATAGGTCTGTTTTTACAGAAGGAGCAAACAAGGAAAGTGGTCAAAATCTGTGTTTTGAGAAAATGAGAAAATTGGTTAAAACATTTCTTTTGCCGTTTCGACTGAAGAATATCGTGGCACACGTACTTTTCGTCGGTTAATATGCACCGGGCATATAATCAGATTGATTGTTAGCATGAGCGTGTCGTTTCTATCAAGTTTTGCTGCAAGTTGTTGCCCTGTGCTTGTCTGTCCACTAGGCCGCTTATCAGTTCAGTGACGGTACTGACGCCAATGTGCGACGAATGTGCGCGCGTCATCAACGATCCTTCATATGATAAAGCGATGTTTTCTGACTAGTAGATGTTGCAGACCGAACTCTCGCCCTCGCTCATCAATTTCAAGGCTGCAAGAGCAGCGAGGTGTTAGTTTTCTTTTCACTTAGTATTGCCTCATTTTCGAGTGGAGACCGCGGCGCAATATGTTCATTGTTGCGGATGCGTCGTTTAAAAGCACTCTACCTGTTGCCTCTATTGTGGCCTCCATTGTGCGGGCTGCGAGCACGTTCACCGTGAACAGATTGATTTCCTGTTGTTTGTCAATGTGCGATGAACTCCACTCTGGCGACCCGTCACGTAGTTCACACACAAACGAGGTCGTTTTCTCAGGCGAGGTGGGGGGGGGATAAGAATGCGCTTTTGTTTCGTCGCTGCAAAGAGTGCTATCTCTCATAGCTTCACCTATGCCTTCTTACTTGCCGTCCTCCAACTGTTGAGGCTCCAAAACAATGGCTCTCTTATGTCGTTCTTGGCCTCTCTTGAAGCATTTCACACACCGAGTTCAGTTTCAACACAATTTTGTTTTCACTTATTTTTGCATTGTCCTGGCCTCAAAGCGGGTTGCCCAGTGATTACAATCTGCCTTCGCTAGCGGGGTCCTTCAAGCCTTGACTTGGGCGTCTGGAGTCCAGCAGTCTTGCTATTCGATCTCCTAAAACTTCATTGTTCAAATTTTTTTTATTTCTTTTTCTTCCCTAATTAAATTGTCTTTTAAAAACTAGGCAGTACTAGTACAAAAGTAGGCTTGGGTTGGAATGGAATTGGCGGTTAATTGCTGTCGCCAGGCTGCTAGTTCTCCACTCTCGGTCTTGGCGGGAAAAGGAATGTGCCGCTGTGTGCGAAGATTATGAGATCTGAGGGCGCCCCTTTGATGTCACTCACTGTTTTTTGGTGCTTTAACAAGCGCACGCATCCTTCCCATCAGATAAATCAATGTGTCCATCAAGGACTTGAAAGAAGAGGTTTTAGTTTCAGTGAACGAGAGTGCCATCTTAAAACGGTGTTGTCCATTGAGAATGTGGTTGCAGGGCAATGCATTTGTGAATACTTGCGAATCTAGCTAATATTAAAAGGCCGCACCCCTTGTGCATGAAAGTTCACTCCAAAGCAACAAGCCAGGTGATGGAGACACTGTCACTAAAGCTGTCGCTTACCAAACCTGATTCACACTGTGGCCCGACTGCCAGCTTTCTAATATAGCTGGAATCAAAGCAGTCACTTTGTACTGAAACTGGTGCAATGCCAGCAGTAGCTAATGTAATGTGCTTTGTTGTACAAAGCACCATATGTTTTCGAATCTCATTAATTCAAACATGCTTAATTCGAACCAACGCTGTGGTCCTGTCAAAGCTATGTGTATACCAATAGGCGAAAATGTCCTGTAATTCGAACGGGCTAGCACTGGTTACGGCTAATTCGAACATACCACGCTTCGAAAATTCTCTAAGCACCACGCACAATTCGACGGCGTCACCTCAGACACCTCAATGCTGCATGTGGAGGAGGAAAAGAAAAGGAAAAAATGGCTGCGGCGGAATGTTTGCTCTCTCTCAAATGCCGAGCTGGGACGTGCCTGTGCCACACTTCTCCCTTTTCTGTCCCTGTCACGTAGAGACCCTTGACCCTTCTCCTTTCAACACAGTGTGCAGAGAGGAAAAAAAATATATAAAATTGCTGTCGCGGAGTGTTGGTTCTCTCGCCGATCTGCGACGCACGGGTGCCAGGCTTCCGCTTTTCCCGCCTCTGCCACATAAAGAACCCTGTCCTATCAACGCCGCATGCGGAAAAAAGCAAGAAAGAAAAAAAGATTAGAAGCAGCTGCCACACAGTGTTGGTTCTCTCTCAAATGTCGATCTGCTTCTCTCCATGTGGAGACGCCCCTCCTTTCTTGTCACGTGCTAACAACGCTACGGCGGCTTTGGCACAGAGGGTAGTAACAGAGATGCAGTTGTTGTTGTCGTCTTTAGAGAGTGTCGGTGCTGCACGTTGCCGCAGGCAACTTCTCTTGCCAGGAGAATGCTGAAGCCGAAGTAGACATGCTTTACAAACAGCGTGCGAAATCGATTGAATCGTTGCAAGGCAAACATGTGCAGATGCGCATCACCGATTACTTCAATTAATGACAGATGTCCTGTGTTTTGTGAATAAATGTAAGTCTTCTGAAAGTTCCCCCTTGTGTGTTAGCTCAATGCACATGTGCCACTGCATGAAGAGCTCATTTAGCTTTCATTAATTTGAACTTCCTTTAAGGGGGGAAGAGGCGCTTTGACATAAAGCATTTTTTTATTTAAGTTAGGACGATGAAAACTTAGGTGATTATGTAGTTACATGTGCATATATCAAATATGAACTCAATTTTTATGTACCCCTTACCATTAATTTTTTAATGAGTCATTAATTAAAATTTCATTTGGTCACTTTTTAATGAACTGGCTACACGGATTATGCTGAATGAAATGTCATTGCATTCTATAGATATCAAAGAGTGCAAGAAGCATAATTTTATGGTTCTAGCCTTTCTACAACAAAAGTTATGAAGCTTCAAAGTTCACCATTCAATTACCGTGAACACATATTTTTCTTATTTTATCTTTTCTAAAAATTTATAGCTTCCTACAGTAACATATGGCACTTTATTGCACTCACTAGACATCCAGCTTTTCAGCAAGACAAAAATTATCAAAATCGAATGTACCAAAGCTGAGAAACGCTTGACGGAAGAACGAAAGGTGGCCAAAAAATTGAAACTGAGAAAATCGCAAAAAACAAAACTCCGTGTATTTAAGTAGTGCCACACAAATAAAAACTCTTTAATTTGCAAACAAATGCCTCAGAAGGCACCAGGAGAGTAGTCCTTATCACATTTTTGTCGTTGCCGCCGCTTTGCTTGTTGCAAGAACCTGGCCGATGCTGAACGCTTCCGCTCAGCACTCATTATTCGAAGAGAATCTTTTTCTTCTGCCCGTTTCTCACTCATGGAGTTTGGTTCCAGCTGAAGTTCTCCAAGGATACGAGCGGACGCTTCCTTCACACCGTAATTGAAGCGCACCACTGCCTCAGCAACTGCGGTCTCAACAGCTATCAGTGAAGCATGCTTGTCCTTCCGCATTAGAGACCATATAACCGAATGGAGTGCCTCGTTTGCATTTTGCGTCTTTCCTCTCTGGCAGCGTTTCAGCAGCTCCATGTCAGAAAGTCGCTCGTAGACTGGAAGCAGTGCATCACGGACATTTTGAGGAAAGTTGTAGGTGTGTTTTGGCAGCGGCTCTCCTTTTGCAGCAGCAGCATTGTGCTTGCACCACGACTCACTCCCACTTGGGCACAAGGTGTGGTTCAATTGTTCATCAGTTGATGTGACATGATAATATGTGGCCATGGCTGCCCGGTGCATCGCATTCACATCACCGACATTGGACTTTAACGCCCAACCATAATATCTAGACAATTTCTCCATGACATCACCTGTCAAGCGGCCTCTTCCACTTAGTGTATCCCCAGAACCTTTATGCTTTTGCACAAGGTTGCGTAGTGCGGTACCCATTCGTTTCTGGACATGGTTTATACAGTCCTCTTTTTGGACCTGTATAAAACCATAAACTTTTGCGTCTTCCACAGCACGAAAGGATCTACTGTCCCCATCACACAGCATCACTGTGTATCGCAAGCCGTGACGAGAAATTGAACGCTCAAAGAGGGTCACTGCTGCCTCTACCTCCATATGGCCCGATTTGCACTGTGTGTTCTTTTGGCAGGTGTGCGTCGACTCCCAAGCCAAGTAATTTGGGTCCTCTTTTGGTGGTGCGCGCTGGCAGCCGGCACAAAAGTTTGAGAAGACAACATAGTCCAATACATAGCCTGTAAACAGCTCTATAACTACACCCACACCAATGTGCGACAGGTGGCCTCTGGTCATCCATGTGCCATCATAACAGATGGCCACATTTCCTGGATTGTCAAAGTGCAGCTCTTGGTACAAGTTTTTCACGGTCGTGGCACAGTCAGAGAGGACCTTCTCTGCAGCTCTTGTTGCAGCAGGATTCAGTTTGTTTTTCAGATGGCTCTGGTAGCTTTCGTGATGAAGTTCCCTGTGGGAAATTCCCATAACAGAGAAGACGTCGTTGAGGGCTGCCTGGCCATTCCCTGTGCTTTGCATGGCACGAGACACCAGGAGATTCACTTCAAATGGGGGGCATTTAGCCTGACTGGGTGCCCGCCGAGAGCTCCACTCACTGCCAGTAGGTCCACAGTTGGTGCACTCTAAAGTCAGTTTCATCGCAAGTCCATAGTCACACGCACCTTTTTCAATCGAAACGGTCCCATTGCACGTCCGGCACTTAGTAGTCCTTTCAAGCAGCTTGTTTATTGCGGAGAAATCGACGATCCCGTAGGTAGCCGCCGACAGGTCAGAGTCCTCGCGCGCTGTCGCGAGCGTTCGCAGCTTGCGCTCGCTCGCGGAAGTTGCAGATAAGCTGGAGATCTTATCTTCGGTCTGCTTCTGCTGTCGCGCACGATCGGCGCTCGTCAAGAACGTTGTGTCGAGCCTTGTGCCACGCTGTCTATCACTGACGTCGTCCGAGGCGGTCGCCGAGACAGGTGGAGAAATCGACATTTCGACCGATGAAGTCGCCACGCCGTCCTGCGCTGGTTGCGCTTCTGGTGCACCCGCGCCATGATCTCGCTTTGCCCTAGTCTTTTTGCGCTTCTTTCCGAATTTATGAGCAGTGCGGAACTTTTGATATGGCTTCGCCATGATCAAAGGTTCAAAACGTGTCCGAGAGCGTAGGCCTAACTCACTCTCGGCGGCTGCGACGTACTTCGGCTATCTCGCTTGGCACCGTGCCAGTACGCCGCCGCAACGTGCAGTTTTTGTCGAGGAAGATCAAAAACGCTTGCTCTAATTTCTTGCCAGCTTGCGCAGGTTGGGTAAACCGACGAGAACAACACAGATACGACAGCGAGGTGAACTTGCCGCTTCGAGTGTGCTGCGCCGCTGCGCGCAGCAGACAGCGCGAGAGGCGCGGCGAATCGGAAGGCGCGAGTTGGTCACGTGCGCTCACTGCGCCAATAGGCTCACGTGGTGGGACCTTTTTTCGGCGCAGATTTTCTGCACGAATTCCAAGTGGATGGAAACAAGCGCGGCGGGATATTCAAGAAAAAGCGCGGCTCGTTCGAATGACACCAAGATGGCTGCCGTACGGAACGTAGAACGGCAGCTGCGCAGCGTTGAAAAAGCCCGTTTTTCACGCGTCCTTCGCTAAAAATTTAGCTCGCTGATGTCACATAAAACGCTGTCACGGCTAAAATACTGATCTGGGACGCATGAAAATTGGCGAGGTTATGCATCAGTAGCGGCAGAATCCAAAAATAACATTTTCAAAAAATCGATTTTTTTCGCGATTTTCGGTCTTGAAGACCCGCTTCCCCCCTTAATTCAAACAAATTCTCAGGTCCCCTCGATCTAGAATTATTGAGATTCGACTGTATTCTGGAAGTCTGCTGTTAATTTTGTTTTTTCTTATAAATGAGCTTTTTCTGTGTAATACTGGCAACAAGTCACTCACATACAGTACTCGTGTATGTAAACGGGACAATTTAGGGCTAACTAATGCACCTACTTCTCTTACCACAGTCTTCACTTCGGGTCATATCGACATGATTTTGACGCGCGATGATCAGAGCCAAGATTATCTCTAGAGACCAGATTGCGCATACCAGTCACTGAAACATCTGAAGCCGCGTTTGAATTGTGAGAACTGTACTTCCTGTTCTGGCTTCTTGCTGTGTGAACATTTCAGCGAGTTACAGCAGTACCACACCGTGCATGTTATGGCTCTGTTCGTATTTGCGCACCACAGTCCCAAAAACGTTTTAGCCATGGGAGTTTCTCACTGTGCACAGTAACATGCTGATGACAGTTTCTAGTTCTAAGTGAAGCAGCTATTTGCTGATCGCAAAATAATCGTTTCGCCGAGTGTCCTTGCCGTCAAAAATGTCTTTTGATAACTCATTCCGAATTATGTCATTGCCAAAAATGACACTTGACAATTAAGTATAACATACTTGTTTACGTTCTGTGCTTGCCTGGTCACGCACACCAATGTCAGATGGCACCACTCGCCCAGGCTGCTTAAATTTGTGGCCATCATTATCAAGTAAACCTATACATAACGCAAAGAAGTTTGTGTACCCACTAGTATTATCATCTTGGATTATTATTGGAAGAATCTTCATTTATGGATGGCGGTGGTCAGTGTCGCAGAGATGGGACTCCAAGTATGAACCACATTTCACACAATGCGTGGCTTACTGTAATACATACGGAAAGAGTTTCCATACAGTAATGCTCTTGCATGCGTGCCCTTTAGCCAGTATGGTGCTACCGTACTTTCCGTATGATAAACGAGTATTGGCAAAAGTCCGTATTGGCTTGCCAGTCTTACAACTTCCAGGCGACACGAAAGTGTTTAGATTTGCGAAGCCATGTGATCAACCGAGTGACCCATTGTGTGACGGTCACTTCTATTGTTCTCAGCATTACGTGAATTTTTCCACATGCCGGTTTTCGCATTTAATATGCAGGTTAGCTAAATTTTGTGTTTGCAAAATACACCCAGTTTGTCGTAGTTAGAGATCATGCATGTAGATAAAGTGACGCAATAATTTGCAAAGTATGTGTGCACACAGTTTAGAGACCACCGCTATGATTAGTTGTTCAAATGCACGATGCAAAGCAGTGCACTTGCAAATTGTTTGAAGGACAGTCTCTGTCACGTTCACGCCTTGCTGGTTCTGAATCGTTTGGACAACATGTGCGGTATTCTCGAAAACTTGACACTGCGTTTGCCATGGTCTATCAGTGCTGCGTAGGCGTCAATGACAGTTCAATGATTAAGTGAGTACTCGTCGTGTTAGAAACGTAATTCGGACCAATTAACTAGACCTCATGGAAAAAATTGGTATTACCTACTACAATATTCTGGGATCAACGTGCACAAGGTGCGCTCTGTGTAACGATGTTCCTTTTTTTTTAAAATTGTGCTGCATTATACTTGGGATACCCTGTGTAAAAGATGACACTTGTGCTCACCCCTATTAGTGTACTGTGCGTGTTGCTTTGAGTTGTTTTTTTTTTTTGCCTGATGAAAGTTTTAGTATTTACCAGTTTATGTTGCCTTCCCCATGTCATCAATGTGATAGAATTCTTGTTTTTTGCGTGTAAGAGCCCAGAATTGAACAGAGCCAGTTGCAGCCTGCTTGCTGCTAAGTAACCACCTCGATGCGACCCCCCCCCCCCCCTATTTTCTTCATCTTTATGCACGCAGGCCACGACTGTTCAATCCGGCTGTGGAACCTGGACAACAAGACGTGCGTGCAAGAGATCACCTCGCATCGCAAGAAGTTCGACGAGTCGATCTTCGACGTGGCCTTCCACCCGTCGAAGCCATACATTGCCAGCGCCGGAGCGGACGCCCTCGCCAAGGTCTTCGTCTGAGGAGGAAAAACCGGCAGCAGCCGAGGTGTGTCGTACGAAGAAAGAAAGAACTAGAGGAGCAGATCGATCCTTCTCTCTCTCCGCACACACCATCTCTCGCACACATGCGTGCCTCTCCACCCCTCGTCCTGCCACCACATGTAACCGCACTGGCGTTGCGTCGCCACCGTGTCATCTTCATTGGCGAGTGTCGGGCATAAGGAAAAGCTCGGGAGCTGGACACATTTTTTGGTCAACAGGTCTTCGTGCACTCCTCACGATACGGAAGAGAGGGGGAGTGTGCCGCCCTCAATGCGTGTGAGTGTGTGTGTTTCAGCCGCCTAACCTAACTTATTGAACCACCGCCACCACCGGCTCCAAGGGAGGTTTCGGGAAGGGGAAAGGAACATTAAAAAAAAGGCTATCGCCGCGTTCTGTACATTTCCTTCGTTTTGCTTCAAGTTTCTACCGGATCTTCCTCTTTTATTACTTTTCCGTAAGTGTTGTTTATTCTTGTGTCCTGTCCCCCGACCGTTGCCTTCCTTTGGCGTGTTTTCTTGCTCGTCGCCACATCTCGGACGGTGTGAGAGAGAAAGAGGGGAGTGTTCGTGCGCGCGTCACTTGAGTCAACGATGGAGCCACAATCAACGGCTGAAAGAAGGGACGAAGGCTTTCGGCGAAGGGTTTGCGTCGAGCCATCGCTGCCCCCGTCTGGCCGAACACTACAGACTCTCGGTTTTTTTTTTCTCTCTTGTTTCTTTTCCCCACCTGTCTGCCCACACTCAGACTCTCTTGTGTGGACAGTGAATCCTAGGGAAACGTGTATGTGCGGGAAAAAAATCTCAACCTCTGTTGGGCTCAGCTTTGTGAGGTACCGCACTGTCGCCGCCACTGTAAGTAACAATGCTAGTGCCGGAGTAGCTTCTTCTGTCTGTTGTTGCTGGAGTATTGAAACCAAGATGGCCTCTCCGTTGTTCCCGTGAATGTGAAAGAAAAAAACTTCGGCGCAGGCTGGACGTAGTATGAACGAGGAATTGTGTGCTGCCACGCACTGCATTTCTTTTTTTCTTTTCTTGCCTTGTCTTCTCGATGAGTGCATGGTTACACGTGTTTGTACGCTCAGTCTTTTTCGTCCGGTTTTTTGCTGTCCTTCCACTGTACGTGGCTTGTCATCAGCATGTGTGCGTGTTTGCCGGTCCTTTCACCTGTTCCTTGTGCAGTTCCTTGACTGGCACGCGTGCAGTTCTCTAGCCTTCGGAACCATGGAAAAAAGTGCGGGGGTTCGGTAGTTGGTCGCAGCTAGTGTTTAAGAAAAAGTCGCGAGTGTCTCCCCCTTTTTCCCTGACCGCGAAACCGTTTGCGTCCGAATGGAAACTTCCCATGGCGACGACGCGAAAAATAGTTTTTCCCGACAGTGGACTCGTGTAGTACTCATAGGGCTAAACGCGTGGTGGAAGATGTGAAAGGTTTCAATGGCACCGTTGCCGAGAGCAAGCATGGCAGTCAGGAGACTGGTTTCAACTTGCCGAAAAAGAAATAAGCCAAGACGAATGCATCCATGCTGCTGTTCTTTCTTTTTTATGCCTGTCACTGTGGACTGCCGAAAAGACGCGAATGGCTGCATCGCAGACGTAGGCATTTGACACACAGCACATGTTTAGTGTTCTGTCCCAGCTGTGCGAGCGTATTCTGTGTACAGAAAAAAAAAATGGATGTGCTGCGAGTTGCAAACTGTAGCTGAGGTAGTGGCCTCCGCAAGCGTTTCTCTTTTCATTATCACCGACCTGCAGCATAGAAGGGCTCTTGGCTAACACGTGCCGTTGATCCTGTCGGCAGACCGCATGTGGTTGCAGTCTGCCTCAATAACGTGATGCGTTGGAGACATCTAGGGGAGGACTACAAAGTTGTGCATTGCCTTTTTTTTTTGCCCACCCCCCAGGTCTGCCCTACCTGCCTTGGGAAGTTTTTTCGTATTGTTCCTACCACATGTGTGTGTTTAGACTATTCTAGTTTTGCACTATCATTTTCAGGTGTATTGAAAGTGTCAAGAAAGAGAGTTGTCACAGTTGGCTTAAATATTATTTTGCTTTCATTACTGATATTTGCCAGCCAGCAGTGTTAAGTTCAGAAGAATTCGAACTGTAGTGTGGCAGTCTTTGTGCATTGCCTTTTGTAGGTCAAGAAAAAGGACTTTTGGGTTCCACCACCATTTCTACTTATCTGCATAAAATGGGCAGCTCTGAGAGCAGTTTCCCACTGCTTGTCTTTCTTGGTTCTACGAGAAGATACCTGAAAGAGAAATGTTTCCCGGTATCTTGACTTGTGTGTTTTTTTATCTTCAAGGTATTTATTAATATGTGACCATTCTTTTAATAATTGATCTTATTTGTGACAGTTGGTGCCTGTCTTTCGTTGTTCTTGCCTTCATTTTACTAATACTGCGAGTTGGGGCTCCGTCCTCGGGTCACCCTTATCAGTTGTACCAAATGTCGCATAAACACAACTTACAAGCAGCCCTTCTGGCCAAACTGCTTGCTCTTTTAGGCTCAAATGCCACAGGGAGGTGGAATCCTGCGGTCTGTTTTGCCATCGTAGGCGTCTGGCATAGCGTTCACACTTCTAAATTGGTCACGAGATGTGCATAGCAAGCGTTCGTCGAAATTGCACAGTCTTGCATTGTTTCCAAGGACTCTCGGTGGAAAACAGTAAATGCCATAATGCTTAGTACCTCACAAGATTTTCTTGTTCATGCTCCTTGTGACTATCGAGTAAGATTATACAATGAATCCACTACGAAATTCTGCCTCTGTGGGATGTTGGGCCTGATTGAAGTTGTGCAGCCTAGCCGGATGAGTTCTTCGAACGTTATGTACCCGCCAATTGAGTACACTGTGGACCAGCGTCTCGTGTGAATGCTGCGCCGTGACTCTTAAAGGAGGACTGCTTAAAAGAAAGATGTGGCGAGGGAGAGAGAGGTCAGAAGGAGGAATGCCTGCAATGACTGTGGACTCAAGAACTGTGTAATTTCTTTTCTTTTCCAGAATTGTAATATGTACAGAAGAACTGTATGTAGTCATTTGCAAATGTTTATTAGTAGAAGAGAAGCAATTTACCATTTTCTTGTTTTACGGTTTGTCTGCCTTTAACCTTTTTGTTGTTCTTGAAGTTTACTTGTGTGAGTGTGTGTGGTCTTAATGGCACCCCTCTGCCATGGTACAACTGAGTTGAATGTGTAATTTCTTTTCTTCCCTCCCCGCCCAAGGACGCTGCTACTCGTGGTGGTGCATTGGAACATCTTTCTGTAATAATGACTGTCCATATATGTGTTTGACTTGGGGCCCGATTCACATGGCCATCGAATGCTTAGTTACAATGCTGCCACGGTAGATTTGCGAGGTGGAGTTACACCGCCAGTTTCTGCTGACTGATGGAATGTTGATGGCATTAACCCGTGCTGTTAGCATGGCCAACAAATTGCTTCTTAAAGAAGACGCAGCCATTAAAGCACAGTACAGTCTCTAACGCTGATGCTGCTTTGGGACGTGAACGAGCGTTTGACAGCTCTGCGATTCGGGCCTAACAAACGTGAAGCAGTTTGGACAAAGCTGTGCAAGTAGGCAGGTCGTATTATAACTGCTGCTTATAATTGCCAATTTTAAGTTTACAAACATTGAAATATTTTGAGGCGTTACTTGCAAGATAATGCAATAGGCCTTTGCCATATTGCCTCAAATTTTCACCAGGCCACAGTGCAGCGAAGAGCTTGTCGAACAGCTTCATTACTATGCAATGGCAACAAGAAAAAAAAAAGCTTGTTGAAAGAGTGTGGCAGTCTTGTACATCTGCTGTTCACAGCTCTTAAGCGTCCTTGGTTCTGGTTTAATTCGGGTGTTAAAATTGCGTGCTTGAGAATAAAGCATTGGTGCTGGCTTGATATAAAGATTTTTTTCCAGCGGGCTTTAATTTGGCCCAGCAAATGCAGGTGTTCTTAAATGCCAACTCGCTTTCGATGTCTGGTATGCAAAATTTAATGTCATTAACATCATTTATAGGACTCTGCCTTGGGTGCAGCGCCCTTGGACCATCCTTGTTTGCCGATAGCAGATGGAGAGCTTTCTTCTTTTGTGTAAATCTGTTACCAAGTTTATGTGCAGAGGATTTAAATAAAGCAAATACAAAAAAAGTAGGTTTTCAAAGTTTGCAATGGGAATGTGGAAGGAAGCATGGCTATGCGAGATGATGCAGAAGTTGAAATATTGGTTTTCGTGTCTGTTTTATTTTTTCTTTTGCGCTGTTTTTCCAGCTTGGACGACGAGACGGGGAAGAAGTTTGTTTCGATAAAAATGGTAAATAAAGATTTGTGAGTGATCCAGTGGTGCTTGCTCTCTCTGTGCTTGCTGAATCTTTAAGCATGTGCCCTACCGTGCACATGGATTGGGAAGCTAAGTTGTTCGTTCAATCTATGAGCACTGTGCGCTGTTTTGTGTGTGTTCTGCATGATGCCCATGGCACCACCCAGAATTATTCAATCATATGAGTTGCCAAACTGCGTTCCGAAACCCGGACATGCCATTGGCCGACTTAGCGGGAATGAGCCAATCGTTGCGCCATCTGCGTCTCCACTGCATCTCCACTTGTGTGTGTGCTTTTTTTTTTAAGCAGCTCAACGCCGCACGCAACACTGGCATTGTCGCCTCAATAAATGGCCTTAGCTTGCACGACGCCCGCCGCCGCCCGCTGTTTCGCTCTGCAAAGCGTAATCAAAGCCGGGTCAAAGTTTCAAGGTTTATTTCGTCGAAGGTGGTGCTTGCGATTTCGTGCTACCATGGTTTTAACGCTGTGCCCTGATTATTTCTATTACTCCTCGCTTGCTCGTTTAAAAATGTGCGCTTGAGCTCGATTGCTCACGGGAAGTTTGACGAATCCTTTGTCAAACTTCCCGTGTCAAACTGCTCCACTCTGCGGTTCACGATGTGTCTCACTAACATGACGGGAGTAATGGCCGCACAAAAGTGCAAACCAAAGCACAACAGTACTGATCAGCACTTACCGCGAATTGGCCGCTTTGTATTGCACGCAGCGGTCGAATTCCCCTAATCGTGAAATCAATCAGACACCGGCTGGGATACCATGTAATTATGAAAGCCCGAACGACAAGAAAGTGGGAACTTCAACATTGCTATTTACTTGGAACTAGCACGGCAAGCGTTCTTTTCTCTTCAGGAGCTATGTTTCGTGGAGTCTTTCCAACGGCATTGGCGTTTGCTGCTCGGGCATTGTCGTCTGCTGCCATCGACAGACTCGCAGGTTGGATCCACGCTGCATCCCGCTTGCATCACACCTTGGAGCTCACTATTTCGCCGAAATGTAAACATTGTGGGCTCGCCACATGAATCTGATAAACTACAGACTTGTTGCGCCGTCCATTACGCTGTGCTAGCTGTGTACCTACCACACGAACATGCCGCTTATAGCCACGTTACTTCTAGTGCAATGCGGAAAACATGAAAAAGGACACGTCAAGAGAACAAGCAGCTCCTCTGTCCTTTATCACGTCTCGCCACTGGGACAAAGTGACATGTTCAGCACCCTTGCACCAACTCTCCTAAGAACAAATTCTAGGCGCTGCCATGCTGTTTGGCAGAATGCGATGGCGCTCACAATGATGGAAAAACACAAAATATTGTGCTTTCTACTTAGTTTTGTTATCAAGAGATGGCGCTACAATGTACTCCCGCCATTTCAGCCAATGTAGTGTTCGAATTTTGATACATGGAGCCTATGGGGAGTTTCGCAACTCGTATGATTGAATAACTCTGGGCACCACCATGTGTACTGTCCAGATGATAGTTAAGCTTGAATGGTCGAAATTATGTTGGAACCCATACCTAATTGCATTCTTAAACTCTCAAAACACAGTTTAGGATTACCATTACTCTGTAGTACTGGCTAAAACGAACCCTGTTTTCTCAGTTAGATTTACGGTTTTATTTCTTTACTGAAGTCTTTGTTGAAGTCTTGTGTGGCAAGAAAAGGAAAGATAAATTTGACCCTGATTGGTCTCATACGCGATCTCTTACTGGTGCATTCAAGTAATGGTCAGCAAATTAGTGTGGAAATGCGGTGCTTTCTGTAATATTTTCTAACTGAATATGTACCTATACACTTCTTTCGATAGTAGAACAGTGGCATCGCCTTCACTTCTTGTAAGGTCTAATAAGTAGCATGGGTCCTCCTTGATTAGATATGGCCATGTGCAGTTGCAGGATAAGTGTGTGATGTGTGAGGAAGAAGGTACACGTGTAGAAGCACACCGGGATCGGCTGGCTTGCTTGGCTGTTCGCTCCCTGGCCTGCTGTTGCTGCTATCGTCTCTGTCTCTGCGTACCTTAATAAACCCTTGTAACATGTGGCGGAGGTGCTGGGATTGCAGTTCTTGACTCTAATTTTATAACAATAAACGTTACGTACTCCTGCTATATAGATGTCAAGCAGTTTTGATGCCAGCTTTAGTGTTGGCTCTGCTATTATAGCTGCCTAGTTAACATTTGTAATCTTTTTATTTGGCAGGCAGCATTCAAACTAGTAAAGTTGCATATGATATTCATGTCGTGTTGTAAACTGCACTTTGTTTCAATAATACTGACATCTGTGCTTTAACGAGAGTGCTTACGCTGCTTGAGACTACAAGTTATCTTTTAACACCAGTGTATTCGATGTTCCTGGCAAGCCCTCGTGAACTTGACAAAACTTGGAAAACGCGATTCACTTTGTAATATTTGACTAAAAGCCAAGACACGGCATAAACATTTACTTGCCGACCACTTCGCATTAAACTCATCCCCACAAAGCGTAGTATCTGACGAACGTTTTTGTTAATCCTTTGAAATGCTATGCACAAAATTGTGTACATTACTCGTCTTCACTATTTGCATCAAGTAGATGCTAGGAAAGAGCAAGATATTTTATACTTTGGATGAATTGAACCTCCTGAATAATAAATTAGTCTTTATCAAACATCATTTCGCAGTGTGTTGATACATATGGTCATTTTTGTGAAGGCACTACCACGTTCGACGAGTTGTTATAACACCCCTAAATTCAGAAATTCTCATTATTTTCGTCGCAATGGCATATTAAGTGCCTTGATAACGTTGTAGTGATTTGACACACATTTACAGTTCTTCATAGATAGCGGCTGAAAGGGTTAAAACTTAAAAACATTAAAACGAAGGTGCTTAATTACAGTTGCACTCACTATCTGTTAAAGTAGAAGGTTGAATGTAATGAACAGTGCGCAAAAAGAGCCATTGGAATTTGTCACTTCGTAGCTTTGCTGGAGGAGGGTGTTGTACTTCTTTAGTAGCTTCTCAGATGGGAAAATTCTGCTTACAAAATATTTGCTCGCATTTGGAAGAAATTGCTACAGATCTAACCCGTACTAAGAGGGAGCCTTTCGTTGTTCCATAAAAAAACATGATCAAGAAACAGGTGTTCCCAGTCCTTTAAATGCCTCGAAACTGTAGCACAATGCAAGCTACGTATCATGTCTAAGCTTTCGAGCTGTCCTGCAATTGCAATGTGAGCTAGCTGGTGTGCAAGCATGGTGCCAATTCTGATATGTGTGGTTTAACGTCCCGAAACCACCACATGATTATCATAGATGCCGTTGTGGAGGGCTCCAGAAATTTGTGCCGCTTGGAGTTTAACGTGCACCTGAACTTGATCACATGGGATGGTGCCAATTCTGGCTGCAACATGCTCACTGCAGATGATATTATCCTTCCAGTAGTTTAAGAAACAAAAATTACATGGTTACTCTCGGGAATAGTACTTCTAGCCAGAGTTTTGAAGCATTCCCCTTCATAGGCCAGTGTTGCCTTCCTTGCTCGGTTAATCAAGCATAAAAGTGAATAGTAGCGCTATGCCACCGTAGCAGTGCGCAGCCGAAATTTCAATGACGAGTGGTGTTGCATGTGCAGTGCACTGCTAGCTTCTGAACACAAGGAAGCAACAGTGTAAAAGTGGTTTTAAAGGGACAGTAAAGTGAAACAATATATAGGTTTGTATGGATCAATTATTCTTTTGAAACTTTAGTGTCATTAATTTCATTTTTATGCATCTAATAATAGTAAAGAAGGTGAAAGTTTTGTTCTGAAACTCTATGCCAAAATCTCTGCACATGATATGCAGTGCGATGTTGCAGATTTCAAGCTTTTATATTTTTGCTTAGCACAACAAAACGTCCTGAAACAATGGCAATGCACTTCGTTTACACCAATTTAAAGCTACCTAGGCCTTTGTAGAAGCGGTCCAAATCTATGACTTCAAGGCAGTTGGTGCAGGAACTGAGAGGCGGTGGCTCTGGCACCACTTGTAGTTCCTCGCGCGTCCTCGCATTTTCCAATCGTCTCCTCACAGCAAGAGTTGTTATGGTAAAGTCAAGAATGAGGTCTAAAACAAAAGTTGATACTAAGTGTTCTATAGGTGGAGGGTTGCCACCTGCACAATTTTAGACCGACCCGGCCAGTTTTCTAGTGAGTCTGTTGCCAATCCATACCCAAGACCAGTCATATGGACGAAGTATCTGCAATCCCTTTTCAGTTGTGCACATTAATAGCGATAACCAAGCCTTACTTACCTTCTGTACAAGCGTCATTCCAGTCATGGGTATTTTTATGGCAGCCATTAGACTAGTTGGTTAGCTCAGTGTTGTGTTATTGTGTACATGCACATTAAGTTTATATTGCTCAAGAAAAGCAGTGTTACATCACATGACACTGCATGCCAAAGACCATGCCAGAGACACCATGGCACTGCATGCCATAGTGTCTGTTGTCCTTCTTAATCTTGGGTAAATCCTCCTTCTTCAAGGCGCCTTCTTTTTTACACTGAAAGCTTTTATGAGATCACAACTCCGATCATGCTCGGCACTGTAGGTGTCCATCGCCGCCGGTGTCCGTAACCACTATCGCTTAAAATGAAAAAAAAAAAAAAAAACCTAGCACCAATGACACAGTGGTGCTCGAACCCGGGTCCGCTGGGTGCCAGACCAGTATTCTACCACTTAGTATGCCAGTGCTTGTATCTTGTCGTCAAACTTGCTTTAGGCAAGCTTGACCTAGTACCAGTGACACAGTGGGGCTCGAACCTAGGTCCGCTGGGTGCCAGCCCAGTATTCTACCACTGAGCCAGTGTGGGACTTGTTGGCAAACTTGCCTTAGGCAGGCTTGATGTCAGGAAAGCAATCGCGTCAATACAACTTATAAAGCTTTTTAAAACAGCGAAAGAACAAGCAGTCATTGCACAATGCGAATAGCGTACCGCGTCCAATGCTCCAACCCATTACAAAAGCTTGTTCCTGACCTATCAACTGTGGCGCATACCCATTTCAGGCATACTTCCTCATCGTTGTCAGCCACTGCATGAACAATCGGCACAAAATTGCTCGCAATAGTTTAGTCGATGCCATGCTTCTCAGAAGAATGACGAAATATAGCATAGTGAATGCAGGCCTACTGCCCTAAAGTTTTTATTATCAAAGCCATAGCGGGCATCCAGCAAGTGCGCTTGCAGCAGTTACCCAATGAGTGTTAAGAAAGAAAAGGCTCTGAAAGGCCGCTCTTCTAGCTTTTGCTGTGACTGTGCTGCGCCTTCTGCGCAGGCCTGGCGTTGTTTACTCTAATGAGTTTGAAACATAATAGTAAAAGAGTGTTAAATTAACTTTTCTAATTAAATAGAACATGAATACCATAAAGAAAGACTGCCTTCTAATAAAGAATTGTGTGTATTATAAAACCTTAAAGTTATCATTGGGGACATAAAACCATTTTTCTTTTTTTCACATGCTAGTGGATGTTGAGGATTCTAAGGTAAAAGGTTGTTAGACAAAGAGAAAGAATATAGATATAGAAGCATTATAATTAACAAGGGTGTTAACTAATTAGTAACTGTACCACTTTAATACGTACCAGGTGACAGTCCCTGTACAGCACCCACAATAAAACACATTTACTTAAATTATTGTTATTGGATGTAATTAATGCTGTTCACATGGTACAAAATTGACAAAGATTATATGCAAAAGAAAACTTGCTTACATTAAAAAAGTGTTGGGAGTGTAAGTAAAAGAAATGATAGGCAATGAAATTATGTACCAGTCATGACACTAGCAATGAAATGAAGGAGCAGCACATCACCAGATACTTGATTGCCTTGTTTTCTGGTGGAGCAGGGCGTAAGTGCTACACAATTTTTCAAACAAATCCGATCGTGGCAAGGTTGTTCAAGTAATGAATTAATTTCTTAATCCTAGATGATAAATGCAGAGGGGTGCCGAAAAGGGCGCATTCTTAGCTAGGCTTTAGGAAATATTCGAATGCCTAATATGATATTGGGTATTGTCTTTGACTTGAATTTTATGCTTGAATTTAGGTGCATCTTAAAGAACCCCAAAAGGTCGAAATTTCTGGAGCCCTCTACTTGGCGCCTCTCATAATCGTATGGCGATTTAGAGATGTTAAACTTTAATAATTATTATTATTATAGCTTTAATTTTAGAATTTCAAATTTTCAAGCATTCAAATCAAATACCATTTTTCCTGTGCACAACCCTCATAAAGAGACGGTATAATGATGGCAGGGCTCATGCTATTGTGAAGTGATACTTTGACGCCCACTAGTATAATTGATTGCTTTTAAAAATTGGGGTAAATTGTAGGGACGAAGTGCAATAAATTTTACGTATTTAACTGCGTATGGTGTGCACCCCAATTCATGGCGTGCCACGAATAGAAAAAGAATGTGTGCAGAAATGATGGCATGCAATTATTCGAATGACAGAACTGTGAAAATGAACTCGCTGTACCAGATTGGGCCGTCTTCTCTTTTATCTAACTCCAAACATTTTGGATATCAGACATTCTAATTCAGGTCTTGCATAAATCCCACTATTTAGACTCACTTTAAAACAAAACACTGATTTGCACAAGCCTACTAACTATATACTCTATGCAAGCGATCTCTACACATTCATTTTTGTAAATGGTGCTTGTGCTCAATAACAGCTTTCCCATCTATGGTACAACTAAAAATTCACATTTGCATTGGTCGTCCCTAAGAACTGCAACGAATGCCTCTTATGGTATTCAAAGCAAAACAGATAGTATTTGAGTGCAAAGCTCCTATTAATCAATCAAATGCTCAGACCTCATTATAACAAAGTTATATCTTAGACGAAAATAAGTTTTTTTTATATCCGAACATCCGTCAATAAAGGGTATTCTTAACACTATGTCTATAGCAAAACTATACCTCATTGACTTCATTACAACCGATATTTCCTTATATCCTGGTTTCTTATATTGAGGTTTGAGTGTATTTGCATATCCTTAGCTTACGCTAGAATGCTCTAGAAAACAAACAACGAAGATATCTGCAGAAGTGTTTCACTGTACACATAACTGTATCGGCAGTTCTTTGCCTTGCACTTAGTTTGCGTGTGCTGAAGCTGTTGTGTGTCCAGACTACAGTACAAAATAAAAGAAGAGCCTTGTCCTCAAATCGGTCTTTTATTATTACAAATCCCAAAACAGATCTCTTCTCAGCTACTTTACACTTTTAGGAGCACCATACGCATCTGGCATTCGTTCAATAGAAAACCTGAAACATACAGGAAAACAACATTATTGGTTAGAACAAGGCTGACTGCAGTAGCTACACTGTACATGCATAAAGTATGGAATGATTCTGAGCTCAACTCAAGTTCTTTCCTTACCACTGAGCAGGCTTGCGTGAATATTCGAGGGCTTAGAATATTTGAACAAATATTACAGTATTCGGATTCGTCTCGATTTAAATTGTAATTATTGAAAATTTTGAAGTATTCAAAATCAATGAGAGAGAGAGACAGGTTTATTTACAGAAAGGCACAGAGGTCGGCCTGAGCGATAGCTTGCGCTAGCCTGCTGCTCTACACTGAGGGAGGGGAAAGGGGAGAAGAAAGACTAATGAATAAGTGTATAACAAATAAATAAGTGTATAACACCCTGTAAAGGTGGTTTCACTGCAGTGGAGGTGTGCTAGGCCATGACTACACCTAAGTAGGAAACTGCCCTGCCGCGAAGCCCCACCTCAAGATTAGCTGAACATGCATTACTACTCTCACATCTATTTATCATTTTTTTATTCAGCTTATATGCTCTCAGCATAGTAAATTTTACAATGCAACATACTTTACAGGTTATCACTTGCATTCTATTGAAAGTCAAATCCTGCTACTATTCAAAAGTTATTTCCAGTTCCTTTTAAACCGAAGAGAATGGCATTTTCTCATGCTTGTTTTAATTTTTAGAATATCGTGCAGGTTAGTTGGTCTTTACAAATACGCTCATTTTCCTTCAGAATATGTGATGTAGACCCTCCAAATTCGACTAAAAATCATTCAAGCAAATCACTGCTCGCTTCAGATTCACTTTGAGCCTAAAATTTAGTAATTCGCACAAGCCTAACACCAAGTGATCCTGGTGATAATTCAGATCAGACAAAATGCAGCTTGGATCACTGATTACACAGCAAAATGGCCTAGAAATTTGATGATACTGCAACATTACAAAACCCTAGACCTGATCCCTTTGGGAATATGTCTGAAAGCCTGTTGGACCTTGAAATAATCTTGCATTTCATTTGACTACGAGTCAAATTACATATCACACAAAACCACATGGACTAACAGACTGCACTGCATTAGCATGAATACTACGATTAGTACGACGCACTATACTCACCGCCTCTGGTATATGTACATGATGGGGACACCTGGCACCTTGCGTATCCGACGTTTCAGGTCTTTGTCGCACGTGGCCACGATGTAGCACTTGTGCTGTTAGGAGAGGAAAACGCGTTACTGACGCCACCGCGAATGCAGCAGTGTTCGCATAACAAACGGTGCCAGTGGCATAAAGGCCACGCAAATGTTGTCAAACTTCATCGAGGAATTCACCACAAGGGTGCAACGGCTTATTTTCTGAAATCTGCACAGACATTTGTCATGCGTGACTTTGGGACTGATGCATGTATGGTGGACTATTGTTGAGCAGAACGCGAAAGGACCAGGAAAATGCATCTTGGAGCTCCGCTTGTTGAGAAAGGAGCAGAGGTAGAGAATCAAAGTATGTAACCAATCACATTAGAGACAGTTTCATTAAACAGTAGTTCCTTTTAAAAAATTCACATTTACTGAAGAGTCTACTTTACATTGTTTGAGTCGCAATATTGTGAAACAGAGATGTCTTGAGAAGACCTAGCTGTCCAACCTAATTGAAAAGCTTCACTACAGTGCTCGTCTGATGAACCTTCACATGTGCAAAATATAATCGCAAAATTTGTTTCTAGGTAACAACAAGATTTATACATTTTTTCCTTGCTGCAATTGCTCTCATTAAAACGTCACTAAAGCGAAACAAAGAGGCTTAGATCTACAAATTGTTCCCCAAGAGCTCTAACATTGTCGATTTCACCACCATAGTTTTACCAATACGGGATAAAATCAAAGCCAATGTTTCATTTCGAAATTCTGTGCATATACTGCGCATCGCGAATTTCAAAGCACATTTTTCGTATTTTGGCGACACTGGCTCATAAACACAAATTTCCCGAAACTTGGTATGCTATGTCTCTGGCTTTCCCAGAGGACAATGCACTTCGTCTATGTCATGGCAACTGGTGCAGCAACACGAAGCTTGTGGTGCCACTGTCATTTTCTTCTCGCACGTTTTCTCGTTTACAAAGTATCTTCTTGCAGTTAAACGTAGTGACTTTCATAGTGTGAAAGGGTAATTTACCAGAGCGAGAAGGGTTGGTTTTCTCTTTGGTGCATTTTTTACCTCCTTTTCTCCCTCGATTCTGCACAAGCTTCAGATGCAGTGAGGGCAAACAAGCCTCCTGGCACTGAGTTTGCGCAATATGGCGGGACTCGTTCAGGTAAGGTCAACATGTGCTTCAAGCACAAGAGCACTGCATGCAAAGAGCACTCTTTCTCGAAACACTCTGGCTATTGACAAGAACAACAACAACAAAAAACTCACCTGAGTGACTCCTCTCTACGAGGCAGTCGTCAGCGTATGTGCCTCGGTGCATGCAGGGAAGTCGGACGAACCTTGGGTCCTTGGCTATCCTGCAAAGCACAAAATAAAGACGTCGGAGACAACTATGCCTCGCAAACACACCTGCAACAAGATTGTTATGCAAGCACACACCTTCAGAGCGGCAGCAGAGATGAAAAATATGACATTAGCATGACGTACAGTGCCCGGTAAAATAGGCACATTGAATGGCTTTTGACTTCCATTCACCTTAAGGTGAATGCATAAGGGACTCCAACTTTCTCGCTCTTCAAACTTGCCATCTTAAGATTATTATTCTTACGCTTCCATTAAAGCTACGAGTACGTTCTCCAATGCTTTCCTCTCCATCATTACTTTTCCAGCTTCCTGCGGCTGTAAGGAACAACTTTGCAGATAATCCTGGTTCCATGCACCCCAATATTTTTTTTTATTTAAGAGAAAAAATGACATTTCCTTTTGATTATAAAAGACAACGTGCTAATTTCATAACTACCAAGTTTTCCCACATCCCAAACTAGCCCTTCCCAAAATGGCCACAATGCTGCTTACAGGACTACTAACACAATGGGATACCTTTTTGACATCGCTTTTCTGGTCTTTGGCCCACGTGCTACTTTAATACCGATTATAGCCTCGTGTCTACTGTCTTGACTATGTCACGTGAAGTGTCTAAAAAAACATGCTTTCAGGTCTTGCATTTCTTTGCAGGATCAAACGCACAATAGTAGTGCTGCCCAAAACACTTGCTTAATGCACACTTGCGTCACGTACCTGAGAGCGACCCTGTACTTGCTCCCCAGCTTCTCAAGTTCACCAATGACACAGTCAGTGACGTACGGGATGCCTGTCGAGATGCACAAAATTTCAGCGATGCTACACCTCATCGCTAGCTACTATCCTATGAAAATAACTGACGTGAACACTAAAGAGTTATGTTACTGCATACATATACTGAATACTTTCAAAACTACCCTTTCTGAATTTTCTAGTAAAAAAAAATTCAGTACAGGAAAAATAATATATATATATATATATATATATATATATATATATATATATAAATATGAAAGTAGATGCGGATTATGCCTTGAAAAAGACGGGGTTCCCGTCGAAACGTCGGCAGAATAAACAGTTGTTATGTGAAAGCGCATCTACTTTCATATTTATGTGTATGTATATATATATATATATATATATATATATATATATTTCGTTTGTGGCACTATCACTTTAATGTGTCTATCAATGCAAGAAGGCATAATTCCAATTCTATTTGTACTACTGAGGCAAAAGTGTTTGAGACATGATATACACTCAAACCTTGTTATAAAGAATCAGAAACACTAACAACGAAATATCAGTTATAACGAAGTAAAGAAGAAAAGTCTTGCAATAGATGCCATGTTAGAAATATACCTTTTAAACTAATTCTCGGATATAACCAACCCATTTTCAAGTGACATGCAACTTTGTTATAATGAGGTTTGAGTGTATATAACTGTTCAGGCTTTATGTCCCGAAACCGAAATATGATTAAGAGGGACACTATATAGCGGAGTGCTCTGGAAATTTCGACCCTCAGGTGTTCCTTTACATGGACTTAAACCTGAGCACATGGAGGCCCAGCATTTTGCCTCCGTGAAAACGTGGCTGCAGCAGCCGAGATTCGATCCTGCAACCTTCAGGTCTGCAGTTGAGCACCGTTATTGCTCAACCACTGTGGTGGGTTTGGAAACTCGTTGAATTTAACTATTGACTCCTTCTGTATATAAAGCAGTAAATTTTTTACCAATACTCCAAAAGAGGTTAGTAGGTCAAAGAAGATACTATCAAAATCCACAGCATTGTGCTTAGACAGGGCAAATGCATCACCATCTTTGTCTTATTGCTTTTTTTCCCTGTCGTATCAATTCCGTGCTCGTACAAATTCCGTGCTAATGATAACAGTGGCTTGTTCTGCATTGGTGAAAGGTAGCTTACTAATGAATCTTAACTTAATTTTATTTTTATTGTCTACCCAATTGAAACATACCATTTGGAAATGTCATCACTTGTTAAAAGAAACCACGTGCATTTTAGTAACTGTAACAAACACTGGTGTTACCATGTATCCCTGTTAACAGTATTGCAGTGTAAAGTTACTCGAATGAAAAAAAAAAGTAATGACCTGCTCCTAGAAGTTAACCAAGATAGCAACTTAGTTAAAGGTCATGCATTACTAACAACCAGTTACATTGTAGATCTTGAAATTTTCAATAACATAACCTTTAAGATGATTTAAAACTATCATACACACACAATTCTGCACCACATGCTAGTTGCCGACTTACATTTGGCATACAGGCAGTCCATCATTGACTGGATGACATCCAGCTTGTTTTTGATGGCAAAGTTGATGAAGTTTGTGTCGATGAGGATCCTGAACGGAGGTCCCTAGCTGTGTGTTGTACTTGAAGAACAGCGCCGAGGAGTAGTGCGGCCTAGGGACACAAGAAAACATGCGCACGTGTCAGGCACTGCGTATATTTCATCCTTAAATTTGAAAACTGCACTTGTAAAATAATGCAGAGAGATGCACGCAGTACAATGTGCCTCTTTTTTGTTTTCTTGTACCGTTCTGAGATAAAGGTAATCAAAAAAACAAGTGAGAACTCAGGCAGTATTCATGCTCATTTGTTTCCAGCAGTGCTTTCACATTCGGTACCTTGGTCCTTTCATTTTGCTTGTTTTAATTAAAGCTGTCAGTTTCTATATGTGTACAAGAGATGCCCAGCTCAATGTGTCAAGCCCTCATGTTAGTTACAGAAATTATGGTCAAGCTGAAATAGCATACACACTATGCCTACATGATATAAATGATGTCCCAACAATCATGCATCACAGGGGAAAAAAAAAACAGCATAACGGGAATCAATTGCATATAGTTTCCAGTACACTGTCGCACCCACCACTAATTTTTGTTAATGATATTTAATTAATTCATAATCATATCTGTAACTTCCCAAGTACCCACCTAGTTATCAAAGTGTCAGTGACGCAGGCATGTTCAAATGACGTCTATAGGCGCTATCTTCAACAGCATACTAATTGCATGCTCAATTTTTTTTGGCTGTTAGAGAAAACCGTTGAAATGTGAAAAACAACATGCGACTGCTCTGCAAGTCACAAAAGCAGCGGCTTCAAATGGGCTTACCACAACTTACCACTTTGCCTGATGTCTACTGCCATAGACAATGTTCCGCACTATCGAAAAAGTACGGGATGCGTGCTAACAACATGCAGCGCAATTTAGAAAGGATTCTTTTCACTCGATTCTATGCCACTATTATTAATCGTCTCTCAGGGCCAAATGTTCTCATCGATAATGCGAGCTGCAACACTAAAGAAAACAAGTACCATAAAAATCTGTTATCAGCCCGTTTCATCAGTGACAACCAATGGCACCAGGAGGCCTGCAAGGTTATTGTTGTGTCCACAATTAGGCCACATATACAGTCGAGCCCATAACAATCAGAAGCTGCAGCATCGCCAACTTTAGTACGTATGGTGAAATAAACCATTTACAGCAATGCACGCATGCCGCATTATTGATTATAGCAATGAATTCTGGCTGTGGGGATTAGGATGTGGTAGGTAGCCGGGGGATCTAGCCTTGCATACTTTGCAGGCTATCGCCCCGCACGGTTTCGCCATTGCTAATTGTATCTAATGTCCTTTTGTTTGTTTGTTTTTTAACTAAGCACGAGCAGGCTCTTAAAAAAATTGCGCATAGCGCAACGGAAGTCTGCATAAGCCGGCGGCGTCTGTGCTATTCCACGTGCAGTATTGTGCCGGTACTCTATCTCGCTGCACCATACACCAAACATAATTGTCACTTATTACCATTCACATTCGAGGTCTGTAGCATTCAAACATTTCAAAAGAAGTTGCGACACCTGTTTCTTGAAGATCGAGCGACCACGAGGAAACACAATATCAGTCACGCTGTCACATGGCGAGCCTAAACGTTGCATTGCCTCGAATAAACCGTACCGTTCCTTCTTAAGCTCAAGACACTTAAGCAAATAGTGTTCTATATCACCATTTTCCTTGCACTTCGGGCGTCGCGGAGTCTGATCTTATGGAGCCATGCTGGTGTATGCGCTGATCACGTTCGGATGCGATGAAGCAAGCAGGCCTCTTTCCTTGATAGCCCTATTGTCACATATGGCTGGTGAGGGGTCAGCCAAAACGAGTGAAAATAATTATTGACAGATTCTCGTAAAATATGCTAATTTCCTTTGGGAGCCTTTTTTGTTGGTGCGGTGCAAGCTCAAGAGCACTCTGAGCAAGTCTGTCAGCCACCTCATTACCCGCCATACCCACATGTGATGGAATACATTGAAGCTTAATGTTTAGGCCAATGCCGTGCAGGTCTTTAAGTATTCGCAGTGATCTTTGAGTGGATCGATCCAAAACCAAACCATGTTTTAGCCACTGCAAGGCAAAGGTCGTGAACTCAGCCCCACTGCGGTGGCCTAGTGGCTATGGTACTCAGCTGCAGACTTGCAGGTCGCGGGATCGAATCCCAGTTGAGGCTGCTTCATTTTTGATGGAGGGAAAAATGCTGTAGGCCCGTGTGCTCAGATTTAGGTGTCCGTGCTGAAGGGTTACGGAACATGAAATCCTTGAAGAAAATCAGAAATTCAAGTTGCTGAATCCCCACCCACGACTCCAACATCCCCCAGCACCCCTTTGTACTTGCGGTTTGCTACACTACACAGTGCGGCACTGCAGCAAAGCTAATTTTTAAAATCCACCACGGCATAGGAATGGTGGTGGCCCTGTTAACGGAGTTTCGGACATACTATTTGAGTAACAAGTTCAGACATGTAAGAGTTTCAGCTTCCCTAAACTTCATATGTTGCCATACATTGGATCTATGGGGCTTGAGGCGATCCCATGAACGCGTCCGACTTTTCAAGAATGTAAAAAAAAAAAAAAAAACAGCAGCTTTGTGATCCATATCACTTGTGTCTGCCGGGGTATCCCATCTGATATCATAGTTTTCTCACGAAAGCCTGCCATCGCCTTATTTTGCTTTTTTTCGCCCAACCTGTATATATCAATTGTCAGTTATAACAAAGAAACTTTTCATGGCACTTAAATAGTGTTAAAAGTGGGTTTTACTGTATATAATTCAATTTATGAAAAATAAACAGATGACAGCTTGCACTTTTCGTTCTGTGTTTGTGTATTCACGTGGGTACATACGTACTTTGATCTTTGATCTGTATGTACAAGGTCTGGCAAGATCTATATGTGCAAGATATGACAGTTACAGCATTCGGATGATTATATATGGGGCTCAAGTTGGGTTCTCACAGTGGTATTATCACGAAGTCTTGCTGCATAGACAAGGAGTATGAAAGTTGAAAACTCATGCAATGGGCAAGTGAATTACTTCGAGCACTGCTACACAAATATGAGGAAATGCAAAAGGCAAGAATGAGTGCTTACGCTTCGGAAACTTTGATGGCATGAGGGTCCTCCTTTTTCTTCTTCTTGGGAGGGAGACGATCCTTTTCTTTTCTGTAAAAGCACAGTGAAGCCGGTAAATCAACAGTGAGAAGCACATCTACACATGTAACTGACAGGCATTTCTGACTCGCTCCGTGGTTTTGAAAAGTGTGGCACAGATTTTACTATGGGCGCAACAAACGAACCGCTTTGACAAACCACATTGCGCATAATTTAGGGTGCACGGTTGATGCCTGTATGCATTGGAGCAGATAGCTCACCTCAGAGCCTTAGATAAGAGAGAACATTGCATTGTTTTAGGGCGAAAGTTTATTGTGACGTTATCATGACGTCATGTATTGCAAAGCTTGCATTTATTATGACGTCACATGACATCGACGCCGGGTCCAACGTGAGCCAATCACGAAAGCAATACGAAATCAGGTGAGGAGTTGGAAGGCTTTCGGAGAGAGTCGGAGGCTCGACTTATTTGTCTGATCGTCTACATAGCGTTATTATTCACGCGCGACAGTAACGTAAGGTCATGAAACGGCATTCAGAGACATCCTACACCTTCAGGGCACAGCCGACCGCTGGCAAACGAGATGTGTCAGAATGACAGCCGCAGTGCAATGTCGGTACTCACAGCCTCTGGTCCCGCAAGCTGATCATCCGCTTCATTTTGGCGGCCTTCTGCGTCGCTTTCACCTTGGCCTACGCACAAACGAAGCAGCATTAGACACGTAATACACTCCAAACGTATTAAGCGATTGATTTGCGTATCTCCACGACCGACTGTTCCGTCGCGGGCATACGCCATTCGTTCCACGTTTATCACTTGTTCATCAGCTATGCATTGCTCACACTGTAAAGCTGCTGTAGTACATACCATTTTGCTACTGTAAACGACAGATCGGAAACGCGGACAGACCACAAAAATTTTCTTTACACGTGCAACAGACGCCGCTGAAGCGAAAACAGAAGCACAATGTTGTTGGACAGTCAAAACGATTTAGGTCAAAATAAACTAATGTTTTGTTGTTTTAATCATTAATCATCTAATTGAATTCAAATTATTACATAAACAGACTACTAATACTTAAAACACAAATGCAGTAAGAAAATATGAAGCATTTAAAGTTTAAATTAGTTTTTTTTGGTGCGTGCGGTTTTTACGTACTAGAATGGTAGTGTATAGGTGTTCTGTGCTAGAGTCTCGGAGGCTCGCCGGCATCGTTAGTTTTCGCGGTTCGGCAAGTTGCGACGTTCATTGTCTGCTGGAGTGGGAAGCTTTGAAAGCCGTTCGCCGCTGCGACGTGTTTTGTGGCGTTTGGATCCCGACGCGGGCCGCAGTTTGAATCAAGAGCCATCAGCGAACCGACTGCCAAGGCATGGTGCTGTTCCAGCAGCTGACGGAGGCGTCTCAGCTGCCGACGCCCGGCCGCAGCGACTTGCACAACCGTGAGGCCGTCAACCGAAGTCCCATGTCGACGGCCACCCAATGCGCAAGCAAACTGCAAGCGCTGTTGGCTGGCCACCGAAATGCGCCGAGCAACGAGCTGCGGGCCGTGCTAAGGTGTGCGATTGTGTGCGTGCGCAGTTCGCAAACGTGACGCAGTTAGCGCTGACTTGTGACGTGACAGCTTTCGCTTGAATGCGGAGAGGGCGTGGTCCGGTTTAAAGGAACGCGACACGCACTTGATCTACCCGTCGAAATCTTTCGGTTCTGCGTGCTGCATGTCAATGCCTGTGGGTGTAACGAGCAAGCTGTGCATAAGCATGAGAGGAGATTTAATAGCAGCAATGACAAGGAGCGACTGGCAGTGGGCCGTGCTAATTAAGGTGTGCGGTATTGCGCGTGCGCAGTTCTGTGACGTAGGTTGCTTGTGACGTAACAGCTTTCGTTATCGCAGAGAGGGCATGGACTGGTTTTAAAGTGACAAGACGCGCAATTCCGTCCGTCGATCTTTCTGTGTGGCTGCCTATTTGCATTAGTGAACACTCCGTGAATTATTATGATAGCAGTGAAAAAGAAAACAGCAGAAAAGGGAAGATAGAAGCTATACGATAAAAAGAATTCGTAAACGGAGGTGTACTCAAGCACACAAACATTGTTTATGAATTTTTATAATAGCAGTTTACTTTGATCCGGGAAGGTATTGGGGGAAAGACTGAATAAGCCTGTGCGCTCGTCATTGAGAAAAAGGATGTCTGTATGTTTATGTTGTGCATAATTATGGTTCATAAAAATTTGTGCATAGCATGTAAGCAAGAGCAGCATAAGGATCAATGTAGGCATATTATGCAAAAATTAAACAAGAGTTAATGTTAGTTGGCTTTAAAGCAATTGAAAGTGAAAGTGTCGGAAATCTGAGATGACCGTGAAATGCGGTCCATTAGTGGTCCACGTCACCTATGCTACCATCTCAGTCGGGTTGTGAAAAATATTGTTGAAAAAATTTTCAAGGTTTCTTAAAAAAAGTGGCTTTCACTTTTTGTAACGCAGCAGTAGGCAATAACGAGCACGCTTTGACTGCTTTTATGCCTGCCATTTTCGGCTCTCCAGGAAGTTGCAAAATGAGTCTTCAATCACTGAGCAAGATAGAATGCAATCTCTAGCATTCATGGTCACTGTAACCCAACAATGGCTACATTACATATTGCTGGAAATTGAGTATACAAATTAGTCTACAAGTTAACATTCATTACATAGGAAGCATTATTATTCTGAGGTACATTGTGTGTACAATGTAATCATATTGATTTGTTCTCGAGCTCTACATCATGCTTACAGAGTATGTATGTGTATTTGTGCATGTGTAGCTTCAGTGTGCTGTTCACTTACGTTTTGTTCAACTTTATTCAGCAAATATAGCGACACTCTCGAAGCAAGCATCTTGGAGACTGTAAGATCAATGAGTGGCACGTTCTGCGCTGCATACGTGCAGGTAAATCGATGGGCTTCAACATTCTCTCGCATGCCAAGTTTGCTGCATGAGTATATTGCGAACAAGATTGGCATTGCCATTCTTACTTCATTAGTATAGTAGAAGTTGTGCACTCGCAGCTCTGTGGTCTGTGGAGAAGAGTTTTCATGAAAAATGTGCAATATTTGTCATACATTTTCTGTGGACTGCTTATCCTCAATCTGTTTATGTATACAATAATGGACGAGACATATTGTGCATGCCAAAGCATAAGCCAATAGTGTATACAGGTGTCAAGTCATGTTTCCGATTTTTCATGGCGTGGTATCCCACAGCTTGGAGCGTGCAATTGGCACTCGACCTTTATAGTTTGTCATGTTTTGTCTGTTTAGTTCAGTACGTTGTGAACATCGTTGGTGAAGTGTGCATGTTACTCAAGGGTGAGCTATTAGTAGTACGACTACTTCGACAGCTTCCATAGTGCATTGCATGCACGAGAAAGGAAAGAGAAAATTGAAGGCTTGGTATTATAGTAAAGCTGTACATGGCTAGAGAAAAGTGAAATTAATCCATCTTGTACACATAAAACCTCCTAGTGCACATGTTCTTTAGAAATTAGACAGGCCCCACCACTCGCAAGCGGTCAACTAAACTTGAAGAAGCAAACAGACGGGTGGCAAACATCAATTAGGATTTGCGGGCAGACATTACCAGTAATGGAAAAAGACTTGTAAACCATTGGAAATGATTCAGTGTTACGAACACCTGGCCTGCGCATTTCAGTGTCCCCGATTAACCATCTGTACGGTCATTTTTATTAACTGCAATGATGCAATGCCAACAGACAACAAAGCTGGGGAATTCATGGGGCAAAGAATCTGTTTCTATTTTAAACTTGTTACTTGTGAACAAAAAGAGAACAAAAATATAAGCAAAGAGGTAAAAATATAGACGAACACTACATTAGGAAGCCCTTGAAAACGTTCAGGGGAGGTATAAGAGGTCATAGTGTCCATTAACTCTTGCCTTTTGTTGACTCACACTGGATAATGTTCACTTCATGCTTGCTACCATTTGCTGGCATTCCTGGTGCATAAGGCCATGAGTAGGTGGCACTTTAAATATGCAAGTTTCCTATTTGGGAGGTCTGGCACAATTTTTTGTAGTTGTCTGTACTGGGCCTGTCAAAAAGAGGCAAATTGGACTCCTGACAGCATTTGCTCCTTTTCCGTCCAGAACTTGCCCGAGCAGCAAGGCAGCTGCACGGACGTTGACCTTGCTCGCCGACAGCTTCAGATGGGCGAGACGTTGTTCTACAAGGCTCTGGAAAGCATTGTAATTGAATTGAAGCACCAAAAGCCAGACACCGACCTTTCCGTAAGTGCATCCGTGTGTTTTGGCCTCAAGTAGCACTTCTGTTGTTTGGCTGTGTGAGGCCTGTGCTGGGAATGGTGTAGAATGTCGAAACAATATTTTTTAAAACCTGGGCTCTGATGTTCATTCAATATTCAAAAATGTAGCATGACTACAATAATTAGGTGATTAGTAGTTAATAACTATAGTGCTATAAAAATGTGCAACAACTATTTCTAATGCTCCCACTCACTTTAAATGAAGTATTCACAGCATTGGAATCAAATATTTTAAATTTGACCCATTAATTGACAGTAAATGATAATGAACATTGACAGGCGGCATTCTATTTCCATCAATGGTCATAAGGGCCTCAAACTGCTGAAAGCTGAAATCATGTAAACATTACCTGAAGTACTAAAGCTAACAAAGTAATGTCCTCTAGTCAACTATAACTTCATTCCATTTAATTTGTCAACGATAGTACTTTGATAACAAAAATATGTGCACAATGAAAACACAGTCATGACTATGAGTGGTGCATGCATAGCACATAACTGTATGTTGGAAAAAAAAATGAACATTGCTTTTTCCTACATCAGAACCTTTAGGAGTAGATGATTTAATTAAAGTAGCAAGTTTTAGCTCATAATGACTCGTGTAAGCCGACATATAATCATTGCATTTGTATATGTAACTTGTGTGATGTCGTTTATTTTTCTACGTTCAAGGTTTACCTCTGCAAGAGTGCTTTCCAGCAGTCACTGTTTGCGTGCTGCTTGGAGATTGTGATGTACTGCTACAACTCACAACGGTAACACTGCCCCTTTTTTTCATAGTCTTCTTTTTTGCACAAAACTGTAAAGGAGTGCTGGTTTATTCACTGGTTGATGATGGCTTAAGACTTAAGCGTAATAAAACTAATGAAAACAAAGATTCGATCCTGGTGGTGTTGATTCATGTTTGAAAGGACGATGTTAAAATGCTAGACAAAGGGGAATGAGAGAACGTCACGCGAGTGCTTACACTTTCATCCTTGTTGTTTTTAATGCTAAATTCTTAACATAACGTGTGGTGGTCCCCTTTTTAATAAATGCTGCAGCTAGCATGCTTCGCTGCGTGTAAATTTATTCTCTTTGCCATTAGTGTTCTTTATCACGTTACACGACTGTGCTGCTGTAAAGCTTGTTTAAGCAAATTTGTCCCTGTTTATGAAATCGACGCTGCATGAACTAGTCATATTTTCGAAGATTTCTGTGCCCATCAGACTCCTTGACATTCTTCACTGCTTTTGTCAAGATAGCGTTGTTTTGTGGACATTATTGTTTATGACAATGCAAGAAACGAGTTCAGGCTATTTAGGAGGAGCAAGCTTTCATGGGTACCATGCAGTGCATTTTATATATCGAAAGTAGAAGTGAATGGGACTTTAGTACTCATGGTAAGCACCACTACGAGAAATTGTGGGGCTGCGTTGAACACAACGCGGTACAGTAACAGCTCATTAGTTCAAACTCAAGGGGGACTATAATATTGTTCAAATTGAGTGGAGTTTAATATGCGGGCGGGCACTAGAATGAATGGAAATCATGCCACACAGCACAAGCAGAACCCAGAAAAGCCACCCCTAGAGTCGTTATTGCAAATAAGGCAATATTACATGTTTGTGGCTGGTTATTTCATAAGTTAAGTTCACAGATTACTCACAGTGAACAGAAATACACACAGTGAACAAATGAACCGCTCAGTTCGGTTCATTTGTTCTAATTATTCCCGTACTGCTAGCATATCAGAAATGAAATCTAACCTTGACCTACCCAATTTAACTGTCCGGAGGAAACTGGCGCGACTGCATTTTTTTCATAAGATATTTTTTCACAATCCATCAATGAAGCGAGACCTCATTTCACAACCGTCATACCACTCATCGCGCATTGATCATCAGCATAAGGTTGCCATTCCGTTTTGCCGCACCAAATTCTTTTCAGCAGCCTTCTTACCGAAAACAGCCGCCGATTGGAACCACCTTCCCTCTTCCGTTGTATCAATAACAGACCCTTTGTTATTCAAGACTGCAATTTCTCAGCAATGCTTGTAACTATACGCAGTTTCTATTATCTATCTTTGTCTTGTATGTGCTTGAATTCTTATACATTTTTAGTTGACTTATGTTGCCTTCCTGATTTGCGCATCTGATACTTGTTTCTTTATTTTGTCTTTTTTCTTGTGTGTTATATATGTTGTACCCACCCCCTCTGTAATGCCCTACGGGCCCTGAGGGTATTCTAATAAATAAATAAATAAATAAATAAGTGTTCAGTGAGTGAAACGCCAGAAACAAGCATTCATGTGAACTCTAAGCGTTAATGTCAAAATATATTATTATTTTCATGCTCATACACAAGTTCATTTACATGGCAGAGACAATGCTATCAAAATTAAAAGTAACCAGTAATTTGTACTTGCTTGCTGTTCTATCGCGACCCCATGAGCATTGTTTGTAGCTTGCCCAAAAGCTCCATTGCAGCGTCCGAGTTCTCATCTGCTGAGAAATTCTGCTTTTTTATTGTTTTGCATGTCTAGTAAACTTAGTTTCTGATTTGGTTTGCCTTTGCGACACATCATGATCACTGTGAGCCAATTTCTTCGAGGAGCATTGAAAACCAGGGGGTGTTGTGGATACCGACTCGAACGACATATCGGGACTTTCCCACACAAAAATACACGGGGCTATGGTGGTACTTGGGCTTCAGTTTGAATTGACTGAGGTCAAATTAATGAGCTTTTACTGTGTCGGGGATGTCGTAGGTTCATTCGCTGTCCCGTTTGCTTCAAGACTAGGGGAGTGGGCTAGGGACGAATGGCATGGCAATGCCAGAGAAGGCTCAGCATTGCTCTGGTACGAAGCGCAACTATGATATATAACGAGACATCAAAAATAATCATTGCGTGTGTCTATCGCCTATTTCTCTGGGCAACGAAGTTTCTATCTGGTCATGGAAAGTGTGCAATGTTAGTGCACGTTAAAGAACACCGGATGGTCAAATTTTCTGGTGCTCTTCACTGCGGCGTCTTATAATCGTATCGCGGTTCTGGGACGTAAAACTTTAGATGTTATTATTATGCCCATGGAAAGTATTTTTTAATAACCTTGGAAGCACTCACACATGAATATTGGATTTTTTCTTGTCAGGACTCTTATGCTGTGACCTAGATACCATAAATAGTGGAAATATGTGCATTTGGTATAAACATCACTTTCAGGATGAAAAAAAAAAAAGAGGAACTACATTGTTGATTGATTGATTTGTGGGGTTTAACGTCCCAAAACCACTATATGATTATGAGAGACGCCGTAGTGAAGGGCTCCGGAAATTTTGACCACCTGGAGTTCTTTAACATGCACCCAAATCTGAGCACACGGGCCTCGACATTTCCGCCTCCATAGGAACTACATTGTGGTAAACTAGACACAGAAATACCACCATTCTCGTTTGCTCATTGTTGCGCTGCTTTCCCCGTTTCTTGGATGTCAGGCTGTGTGTCAAGTTTAAATTCAAGTGCATTTGCAATGAATTAATTTGAGTTGTAGTGAATGTTTGTTCAACAAGTGCCTTGAGGGCACAGTTTTGCTCGTTCAGATGGGTCCTTCAAAGAGGCATATGCACCTTACATGAAAAATCGGCTGACCTGAAAAAATATAACTGAAGAAGATTCACCAGTCAAAGTTTCAGAAATAAAAAAAAAAAATGTTCTGTGCAATAAGTTTTTCTATCTAGACCTGTAACCTTGCATCAATGCTGCTTCATACAGGGCACTTTTTCTTTTTGATTGATATTGCTGCATACATCGCTTGCATGACGCATAATATTGCTCATCCTTGCAGGGAATTTCCTTGGATCTTGGAGGTGTTCAATCTGAAGCCTTACGATTTTTGCAAGATCACCGAGCCTTTGATTCGAGCTGAGAAAGGCTTGTGGAGGGAAGTCATCAAGCACCTCAATCAGGTGAGAAATAGTAATTGTGTAAATTGAACCACCGTGTTATTTTTGCAAACAACGATCCAATGTCTTCAGTAACTCAAACCTCGATATAATGAACCTGGCTATAGCAGAACATTGGGGATAACGAAGTAGTTGAAGAACAGTCTTGCAATAGATATAGTGTTAGGAATAAACCTTTATAACGAATTTTCAAATATAACAAACTTATTTTTGTGCAAGATGCAAGTTTGTTATAGTGAGGATTAAGTTATTAGTGCACTGAAACGTGATTGTATGGAATCAAGCACTGAAGGCTGGAGGCTAACAAAGTAAACCAATAGCGAGGGCTTAAGCAGGGATGAGGTGTGACATAAGATAAAACGGCACACAATACACATATTTGATATGTAGTGTTCTTAGGAGACAAACAAACATGATTGGTGAGAAGTGGGACATCAGCAAAGCATGCAGGCTATGCATAAAAGGTACAGGAAAAGGCGGCAAGGAGCCTTGTCAAGTGGAAAACGCATTACTTTTTTGGGCTTTTTGTGTCCAGACACGCAGTGTCTAGCAGGCACCTATTGTCACTGGCCCTTGTGCTTAGGGCAAGGGTACGAGAAGACAGCAGGCTTCGTGCTGTGCATAAACACAGTGCACCGACACATTGACTGAAATCTCGTCTGCAAAAGCTGTCACTGACTCGGTGTGTGCTAGACAGCATTGCAGTGCGGAGGTAGCAAGTCAAGATGCTCAACTGAGCTATGATAGGTAATTTTTCACGCATATCTGATGATTCGTAGACTTGACTAGTATGAGTGGTACAGTGAATGACACACTTTTGGGATGTACCTGTCAATTCGGATGCCTTCATGACACTGCCACGTGCTCCGCAGAACTGGTATACTATAAGGACATCTGAAATGTCGGACACATATACATTGCGGTCTGGGACTTCATGATGTGATTACGGATGTAAACAGATGTTAATTGCAGACGACACTACCGCCGTGTTGACCATCTAACAGCCTTTGACCGGCACTCCTGCACGTTAATCCACCTAATTTTGTAGCAATTTCTAAAAGTCATCTTGGCCACAACGCACAGATGATGCGCAGTCAAGCACATGCAGCATGCTGCAGTGAAGCATACATAGAATTGTAAGAAATCATTCTCACAAGACACTGTACGTCTCTTGTCATAATACAATGCCTAAGGTGCCTTAGTAAGTGCACTTGCATGCTTTCTGAGCTACATTGGAGATGGCCATGGTGATTAGAGCTTTTGAGGGTAGCAAGAGAAGTATGCGTGCATGCTTTTATGAATTTCGTATGATTGTGCAGTCCATGAAGTGTCTGACAAATTGGGTGTTGACTGTATATGTGAATTGCGAATGCAAGTTTCTAAAAATGTATCTGAAGAGTGTTATAGTTTTTCATGTATGACCTGCACATATTATCTTTCAAATTCGTAGCGAAAATTGAGGCGTGAGTAATTCATGAATTTTAGTGTGCAAGTTTGCTACATGGTGTTGCTTTTTGGTAATGCAAGGAAGGCGGCTTGCAGCAACACTTGCGGTTTTTTCATTTTTTTCGAGGTTTTCACTTTGTCCGTGCACATTTTGTGTTACCGGGCTGCCAGAGTACCAGACAGAATCTGCACATATATGCACCTTTTTTTTCACGAGACACAAACTACTTGCCTGATATGTGTTACATATATGGCTTTATTTCGCGAATTCATGTTGTTTGTGGCTACTCACGAGATTCGCTTTACGGAGACTCCAGTCACAGAGTCGGGGCAAGTCAAAGTGCGAGCACCAATTGCACTCACATTTATAGTAGCTGGGTTACTGTAGCAGACAAAGTGACAGGCCGGATAAGTGATGACACCTGGTGGGGCTGAGACAAACCAGGCAAGTATAAAGATTCTTATTTCAGAAACCTGGTGCATTGTTCTGTGGTGGTTGAAATTCCTTGCACTGTCATAATTTAGAATTAGTTACCTTTTTAATATTTTTTAATCGTGAATACTAGGTGAAAACAAATGAATGCGAATATAATTGTGGTTGCATGAATCGTTACAAGATGTTGATACCATTCCCCATTAGCCTATTATTCAAGACACCCTTTGCGTATCCTTGAAAACCATGCGCCTTTAAAAAAAAACTCTATCACGATTTTGCAACAGCAGCGATTGAATCGTATCCTAATTAAATATGCCTTAAGCACAGTTATAATGATGATTTAGTGATTTGTACAAATGTGATTGTGTTTGGTTATATGAGTACGTAAACGTTTACGTATGTGGCACTAAAATGCTGCTAAAACGCACATTCTGGTAACATGGTAAATGCAGTTCAGTATTTCAATAACACGATAATGTTCAAACGTGTACAGGTAAGCTAGAACCTCTTCTGTTTTTTTCCTCACTATGTTGTTGTGAGTGTATATGCACAGGCAGTTTATGGGCAAGAGAAAATATGGAGGCTGCATGTCACCAGCGCCCCGTGTAAAATAGATCTGAAACTTTGAATGTGCTCAAGTAGCGTGAGGCTTGAAGGTAGGACGCTTGCTGAGCTTTGTTCAGTGCTTCCTCTTGACATCTTTTAAATCCTGGATTGGGCTGACATAGGCGTGTTGTGCAGATCGAGGAGCAGATTCTGGAGTGTCACGCGTGGAAGGACGACTCTCCCCTGTGGGATGTGATCAGACGGGCTCAGCAGAACATTCCCCAATGCAAAGAGGTATGTCTCTCGCACACTTCTCTTCTTGACGTCATGATGTTGCAAAATTAGTTTAGTTCTGATTTGATTAGCTAATTTGTTTGCTACGAACAGATTTCAGTGGCATATGGTGGTTGATACAGCGAAGAAAACAAGAGCCATATGTTTTTTGTGTTTTTTTCTGAAACATAGTGTATTATGTTTCAAAGCCAGAGTGAGAATTCTCTCAAATACCAAGAAACAAATAAGAAAAGGTGTTTGCATGGAAAATGACAGTTGTACAAAACACACTACAGTTGCACAATACCGGCTACAGAATGCAGTGAATCAGGAGATCCCGGGAAAATCTTTAGCCGTATGTGACATTCTTGTAAAGTTGTGATAACTTATTCTGCATGATAATTGCATGTGGACTGGGGGAACGTCTGAGCTTTTTTATTGCAATGTAAGAGCTTGCAAACTGTCGCAGCATAATATTGATAATGGGATGCAGGATGCACTAGACGTATAAAGGAAAAAAGAAATTGAAGACAGCTGACATTTTTCCTAAGCTTTTCCAAATGAAGTTTAGGCTCAGTCAAAGCTACGGTTTGCCAAATAAAAAAGTGTCTATCTTTTATTTCTTGTAAAAGGCCCTATTACAACAGAATTGAAAGTTGGGCTAGTTGGATATACCCCGCCGTGGTGGTCTAGTGGCTAAGGTACTCGGCTGCTGACCCGCAGGTCGCGGGATCAAATCCCGGCTGCGGCGGCTGCATTTCCGATGGAGGCGGAAATGTTGTAGGCCCGTGTGCTCAGATTTGGGCGCACGTTAAAGAACCCCAGGTGGTCGAAATTTCCGGAGCCCTCCACTACGGCGTCTCTCATAATCAGATGGTGGTTTTGGGACGTTAAACCCCACTTATCAATCAGGGCTAGTTGGATATGCATGGTATAACTGTCAGTTCAAGCGCATGAATAAACAGAAAGCAAGAGAGGACAAGTGCTTTCTCGCAACTAAACGATTTATTAGAAAGGTAAGTATATATAAACAGGCAATCAAAAAACAACGCATGCGTGTGCAGGCAAAAAAGTACACCCGTGGCACATTGAGAACACAGGGTAAAAGAAGAAAGATTATCTCGGAGCATAATCTAGAAAAGCAAACTCTTAATCGTGCAGCAAAACTGAAGGCTGGCTGACGCATTGTTCTCCTCTTTTTCTTATGTGAAAAGCTTCTGTCAACTCACGAGTTAATTGATTGTTAGATCGAAAAACCACTTTATTATCCTGAAAAAGAGGATACCAACCGAACTCTCTACGATGAGCTGCGAGATGCCATGCACACAAGGATTTCAAAGAAAAATCGGGCTCTCTAAGACGAACATTGATGCACCTTCCCGACTGACCTATGTACACTTTACCACAGCTAAAAGGAGTCATGTAAACAACGCCCATCGCGCAGTCCACAAACTTTTTGCTGTGTTTCATGTGACAATGCGGAAACTCTCTGCGCAAGCGTGAACAAATAGACTGCAGTTTGCTTTTGGCTGAGAAAAGTACATCGACTTTATATCTATTACCAAGTTGCTTAAGGTCATGCAATGTCTTATGAAGGTGAGGAATTACTGCTATCCTCCTACCTTTTCTACTCTCATCATGACGCCCCGAGTGGTTCCCTTCAAATTTAAGTTTCTTAATTATGTTGTTACACACGGACGTGATGACATCATTAGGATATCCTGCTTGTACTAGTTTCCTTACTTGACTGTCAAAACTCATTTACATTCTGTGTTGGCAGGACCCAAATTCGTAGTAACCATACTTCTCTTCACTAGCTTAGAGTGGCTTGACCTGTAATTGAGTATAGGCTCTACGGATCTGTTTATTCGCGCGCTTGTACTGACAGTTATACCATGCCCCATTACACTTAATGTATATAAGCGATGTGTGTTTCTAACACGGATAGAGCCACTTATCGTGTATTGCCGATTATAAGTCAAGGTTCTTTTTCATAAAATGGCCGTCCAAAGTTCAGGGGTCAACCTATAATTGGAGTTGACCTATATGCAGAATCGTAAAGTTGATTTTAAATCATAAAGTAGACTTTTCTGAGGGGTTCAACAAAACGGTTGTTGTCCTCAGATTCATTGCTATTCGACGCATCAATAATATCAGTCGCAGAGGTAATCAAGTCACAGGAACTGCTGTCTCCCAACACGAGCGTGCCGATTTCGGAGCTGTACATTTTTACGCTCTGCCATGATGATCGCAAAACTATGGTATAGCTATGGTGGCTAGAGGAGGAGGTGCTAGCAACGATGCATCAGAGATACAGCATTCTTAAAGGCGATAGTCTGTCTTGGGGACCTTTGACGGAAAAATTTTTGTCTGTTTGGCTGTACATTTGTCTGCTTGTCCGCCCTAACGATGCCTCAAACGGCATCAAACGGCCAACCCCATCCGCAGCGCCCACCAATATTGCTCAAGGTTTAGCGTTCATAGTTGTGAGATTGTCAATTGAAAAAGCAAATATTGCGCATACTGAGGCGCCATAACAACACGTCTATGCTTTGTATGTCTGCCTTTATACTAGAAGATGCACACACAAGTAACTCTAAAGACTGTAGCGTTTATCTCGCTGCACTGACAGTGCAATGCGTTGCTCCAGAAGGTGTTTCCAACGCTTTGTTGTGACGACACTGTGGTGGCACCTGCCCGTCGCTTTGCATTCTACACCTTATCAGCTCCAAGACTGGCGCGCATCTTTCTCCGTGGTCACGCATGCCTTCGTTTTCGAAGATGACTGCCAGATGGCTCTCGTGCCTGACGTGCCTAGATGCGCTTGTTCGCCTCCGTTACGCACTCGAGGCACTCCAACGCAGCGCCTTCAGAATACCATTCACCGATTTTCTTGCGCAGAACATCAAATAAACGTTTTGTTCACTCTCTCCAGACGCAAACTACCGTCTTTCGAGGACATTTACAGTGTAACATGTAAATTCGGGCCAATTTTTTCTTGACGAGTCGCCAACAGCATCACGGTACCAATGGTAGTGCCACCGCATCGGCGCGTATGTCAGGCAAGATCAGCAACAACATTAGTACTCGCCGCATATAAATATGACAGTGCACTTGGCTCGCGAAGAAACGCGACATGTGTTTATCGCTAGCTAAAAATGTGAAATACGTTTGTCTGTCGCCAAAAACTCAACATGCATTTCTCGCTCGCAAAAAACGGGACATTTATCATACGCAAAAGACGTAACATGCATTTCTCGCTTTAGTAGACAGCGTGTCCTAACAGCACTTGCTGATGAGGCAATTCGAAAATTCAGATTTCTCACGAAGCACCATGGGTGTTCCACGAAAAAGCTGGCAGCGCCGTGTGGGCTGTCAGCACTTTGCGGGTAACTAAACCACATGACCAGTCACACGCACCCCATGCAAGCGCCCACAGGCATGTGCACGTCTTTTTGTGCTCACACCTGTTTGCCATTTCTGCATTTTGCCTCACTTGCAAACAGTGGTGTGTGTGATTTGCAAATACACCGGCAACAGTACAGCGCTGCTTTCAAGCGGCAAGCAATCCTTTGTGCAGAGTCGGAAAGCAACGTTGAAGCAGGGCGGAAGTTCGATGTGTTGGAAAAGTACGTGAGGGAACGGAGAAAACAAAGGACCAAGATCTTCGCGTGCACCGCGACACGCCAATTCTTTCGCGGACCGAATTCGGTACGGTACCCTGCCATTGAGGAGGCGGTTTGAGATTGGGTTCACGACCAGAGAAGCAAAAGCCTGAGTGTTTGCTACGATGATATTGAAGCAGAAGCACGCACTATCATGAAGGATATGTGCATCCCGCTAACCAAGTTCGCACGGAGCTCTTTGAGCGAGCGGCACAATGTGTTAATGATGCCTGGTGGTTAATGATTAATGGTTAATGATGTCTGCATGGCGTTTTCCACATGCGGCATCTTAGTACCACCTGCACCTCTTCCGACAGCGAGTAGCAGCAGTGGCTCATACGAGCAATGACCGTGATGGCTGCATCCTTCTCTAAAGCGACGATTAGTCGCAAGCTATGTTTCATGGCCAAATGAATGTTTATTTGCATTTTTCCCTCTTCTGAACGAGTTACTCATGTTTACTGGTGTGCTATAGCCGCAGCATGAGGCTGTGTTCAGAGTCAACTTTTTTTTTTTTTTTCTCCTAGAAGGGGTTGCAAGTTGAGAGGTCGACCTTATAATCAGAGTCTACTTATGATCGGCAATATACGGTAGTAATTTTTTACAGGCCTTAGATATCGCACTTCCTTTAGCATATTGAAGTGTACCTCTCCTGAAGAAAAGGTCTCTCTCTCTCTTTTTTTATGTCTTATCAATCAGATTTGAGGTGAGCTTGATTATCCCATTTTGATTCATGATGAAGAAATAGTTTAGTTTTGTCATTCTAGAAAGCTGTGCTATTGGTAGCTTTAAAACAAAAAACAACAAAACATGTCCTGGTGTATAAAAAAAGACCATCTTACTGCTCTTGGGATAGCATAATGCAAATATTTTGTTATTTTAAGTGTAGCACTAAATTTAGTTTCACATCAATATAAGTCTTCTCTCCTGAAGTCCCTGCGTGTCACATTACTAAGGTCACATTTCTTCTGTAGGTCTTTCCTCAGTGGCGAATCGAAACATTCCAAGAATCCCTCAAAAATGATGACAGTGCATCTTCAATGGCGCACCCATCACTGGGTGGCTCAGGAAGTAACCAGGGCCACTTAGACACAAACAGAACAGGTAAGTGTTCAGCAGAGTATTCGAAAATACATTTGTCAGGGCCCGACCAGAAGCAGGAAGATGTGCTGATCAATAGACTTTCCACGTAAAACAAGCACGGTACTTTTGTAAAGACATTGATAAGTGCACAAAGAAGGCTTACGAGGAGAGTTCAACTTAGATTGATAACGGCACAGCGAGCAGTGGAAGGGAAAATTATAGGTGTAACCTTGAGGGACAAGGAGAGAGCAGAGTGGGCCGAGGAACAAATGGGTATTAAGGACATCTTAGTCAAAATCAAGAAGAAAAAATGGGTATGGACCGAGCACGTAGGCAGGATAACTGCTGGTCATTAAGGGTAACAGACTAGGTTCCCAGAAAAGGTAAATGTGTGAGAGGGAGACAGAAAGTTAGGTGGGCAGATGAGATCAGGAAGTTTGCAGGTGTAGGGTGGCAGAAGAAAGTACAGGACCGGGTTGATTGGCGGAACATGGGAGAGGCTTTTGCCTTGCAGTGGGTGTAGTGAGGCTGATGATGATGATGAACGTGGTGATATTTCATAGGTCTAAATACTTTCATTAGCAGTGTGATGGATTCTCACCCTGATGTGGAGTTAGGCATTTTTCTGAGAGAGTTTTAACCCGGGCCAGTCCTGTCAGAACAATCAGTGCTGAAGTGGACTGAGCACAGGCGATCACCATCCTTGGGAGCCCAACCATCCCACGCTTGACGAAGGGCACGGACCTTGGTAATCATGCCGACATCTTCACACCATGACAAAGTAAAATATCCTAGCAAACTGTGCTTCGGCTCTCAAAATTGCGCCACACGTGCACTCTGTATTGTATGGTGAGAGTACACTTGAGAGACGCTGCACATTTTTTGCTGGCATACGATAACACTAATTTTATTGTTTAAAAGTTATGCTCGTTTCAACATATATAAGTACAGTGTGCACACTCACAATTGAAACATGGTTCCTTGCTTCTGCTTTGCACAATAGATGCAGCCACACGCAACGCAGAATCTCACCATTGCTCACGAGGGGACATGCAGTAGTGCTGAGACACCTAGTGACCACTTTACGTGCCCATTTTCTGCCCCTTGCAATAGTAATGGTGGTGCTGGCTTCACTGAACCTGTTGTGAGCGGCACATATGTTTCTCGTTTCGTGAATGGGGACCCCACGAGAAAGCCATTTCCTGTTTTTAAGTACACCGCTCGAGTCAGCCCACTCGGGGAGAGAGAGGCACCTATGAGGAGGAGGAAGTGGGGAGGGGTACTCAGGGAGGGGAACAGCAGGCCGTGGAGCAGCAGTGTTAAAGAAAGAGGGGTCGAGAAAATACGCATGGATGGCCGCTCAGATGTTTTCCTTGTTATGTTCAAAAGTGCCTTCGTGCCTGCAAATATTGTAAAATAAATCCAGTGTATTCTAACGAACTGTGCCTTCCCTGATCAACGTCATAATTAAGCAATTCTCCACAGACCCTTTGCCTCCTCCGCTAGAGAGTTAAAATAAGTTCCTTACAAGAAATACGTTAAATGATGAAGCACGCTATTTATTTATTTATGTATAAATTAGTTCAGGATTGAGTTTAACTTGTGCTCAATCCTACGTTTAGTATCTTTTCGTGTGCTGTACTGTTTCCAGATCCATCAAAAACTCATTACCATGTTCAAACCTATAGTGCACAAATGAAACAATATTGGAACATTCAAAACGTTAATGATGCTTGTGAATGTCCAGGTGTGCAGTGGAAGATAACTCAAAAGTATGGCGAAAAAAAAGTAAAAATTGTTCCAAGATTACTGGGGCATACTACAGGCCTTTCTTCATGAAGTTCCTTTCAGTGTCGCATTTACAAAACACATTTCTCTGACAGTTCAATCGAAGGCGTGCTTATCTGAGTGTCCTTTAAATTAGCAATACCACGATACCCTATTCGAACAACACGTAAAGTAATTGAACCTGCACTGGTGGCTAGTCGATGATACATTCAGAAGTGACCGTTGGGTCTTTTTATTAGCCAACCGCCATGTGCAGGCACTTGAACATAAATTTGAACAGTAGAGCATATAAGAGCCGCACTGTTTGCATGTCTTTGAATATCTGTATAGTTTCTGCATGTTATTACAGCTGTTACTGTTTCTATTTCTGGGAAGTGTGCCTGTTTGGGGGCCTGCCACAACTCAGAAATTTTTATTTTTCCTGGCTTTTTGCGTCATTCGTTTGCCTGCAGTTTCTTTTTTAAGTAATTTACTTACTTCGTAGGCCTTCAGAAGAGCAGTTCGGGCAGTTGTCATGGCAGGACTGTAACGCAGGCTGATCCTGCAGTGCCATCGCCTGAGGCTTCCGGAGATAACAGGCCTCCACGTTGCGACTCCCTGGCGCTCTTCTTTCGAAAGGTAGGTGCGACTGACGTCGGTGGTGTATGGCCAAGGGTTGTGCTCGTCTACAACAAGGCACACAGTTTATGTTTCTGGGCTTGTTGGTTTCGATGCGTACCTAAACGAAAAACGGCACTAGGAAACCGGGACAGATGGGGTAACACACTTAAGCACTGATTCGCAATTGATTTGATTTTCACCAGTGCGTGAAATGTATGACATACAGAAGCAACTGAAGACATGTTTGACAACGATGTCCACTCGTCATCTGCTTGTTGCAGCTGCTAGCTCATCTGACTTTACCCGTCATTGTTTCTCTTCCCAATCAGCGCTAGTGACGCCACGCTTGCAAATGTGTCATGGTGTTTTTCTGAGTTGGCAGCTTCTACTAAAATCTTGGACGAGCAGCTGAGCACTGTCGTGCTTTCAACACATCCTCGATCGCTGCAGTGTAATCCTAAATGGCTGTCGCAAAATTTCTTTGTTTTCGTATGTATGCTATATATTTCACGCCCTGCTGAGAATAAATCAGCTGTGTGTCGGCGCTCGTGTGTGTGCCCTTTTCCGTTCTCGTCTTCTTGCGCTGTTTTTCGTTGCAAGGCACATAGATGAGGGGTCGGAGTATGCACCCCCTCCGCCCATATCACTTCATCCTGTGTGTACAGTGGGACATAAAGTTTGCTACGAGAATTTCCTCTAGAAAGAACTGTGATGCCAGTGTCTACGAGAGCTGCAAGTATGACACTTTGGCCAGCTAAACTTTGGAATCGTGGCTTCGAATGGCTTAGCAATCTAGCAAATTATTTATTTTTAACAAATCATTTGCTGAGAAGTGCAACAGTTCTCACTGTTTATGCTGACGAAAGTCCTACTGTTGCATCTCTTTTCTAAAGAGGCATCACATCTTTGCTTAGTACATTAGAGATCTAACAGACTTTATCATCCCAAGGAAAGTACAGGGGATATAATTATATCTCATTTCTATTGTGTCGAACAAAGAAAAAAATGAGCCATGTACACTTATTTCCTTTGCTCGCTAGTACAGTAAAAGCTCGTTAATTCGAATTTTGCAAGGATGCTTAATGAGTTCAAATTAACATGAATTCTAACTAACGAAATTCATTGAAAAAACAGCAAGAATTGAAACCGAGTTGTTTGAAAATCAGGCAAACTGTTTATTTGCAAAAATCTGTGATTACTTTCTGCTTCCTTTCTTTGAAAATGATTGCCATAGCTTTGTTTTCTAATGCGCAAGCGTGGCGGGAAGCATCTTCTTCATCTTTCTTGAAGCTGAACAAGAGGCACGCGACACGCATAGCCTCCATTACCTCTGAAGCTGTCGGCCGCGTCGGCGCCTCATCCTCATTGTCCTCAATCATGTCGACGGCGAGCGCTTCTCCGCCAGTCACCTGCGCGATGATATCATTGTCGGTGATAGTGCTGCAGGCCACTGCACTGCGATCTGCATCAACGTAGTCGCCGAAGTTCACGTCCCTCAGTGCATCCCGCAGTCTGGCAAGAATGACGTCGGCCTCGCGTTCGTCGAGCTCGCCAGCTGTGCCCTCAATGGTCACACAAAAGCCACTGTGGTGGAAGCAATTCACAACAGTTGTTGCCGTGACCTGATCCCAGGCCCGCACCAACATATGCAAGGCCAAGAGCAACGTCACATCGTAGCCGTTTGTAACGCGGCGCACAACACCAAACGCTCCAACATGTGGCACCTGTAAAAACCTTTCAAGTTCCTAATGACCCCTTGGTTCATTGGTTGCAAGGCTGCCGTTGTGTTCTGCGGCAGAAACGAGAGCTTGATCGTCTTCAAGTCCACATCAACCACGTGCGTTGAGCAGTTGTCGACTACCTAGAGCACGCTTTTGTTAGCTAATTCAAATTTGCAATCGAGCTTTATCAGCCACTGTTTGAATATTTCCCACATTATCCTTGCCTTGCTGTTGGCTGTATACTCTGCCGGCGGTGTGCAGATGTTCTTGAAGCAACGAGGCTTCAGGGCCTTCCCTATGATCAGCAGCTGTAGTTCTTCAGTCCCGGTCATGTTTGCTGCGACCAAAACAGTAATGCACTCTTTTCTTCTCTTCCCGCCAGCACAGGTGTCGCCTTTGTAGGTCAACGTTTTACTTGGCAGCAGCTTATAAAATAATGCCGTTTTATCGACATTAAATATATCGCGCGGCGATTACTCTTGAAGGAGTTCTTGCAAAGTACCGTTTTGCCACTTTGCGCATGTCTCGCTGTTCACTTCTTTGCCTTCACCAGACAAGGTGCGGAACACAATCTCGTGCCTCTCTCGGAAACGATGAAGCCAGTCCTCTGAAGCTTTAAATCATCTATGTTCAGGCGAAACGCGAAGTTTGCTGCCTTCGCCATAACGATGGGGTCTCCATTTTACGAGCCCGTCAAAAAAGCTGGAAGCTAAGTTGGCAGGATGGCATGGAAAAAGAAAAAACATCATGAGCGCCTAGTGACCTTGAGCATTTTTTCTCTCTCTTTTTTTCCTCTAATACGAGGCCTTTCAGTGTGATCCTGCACATAGTTTGGGACAAGCGCGGCCTCACGCGGTGGTCCGATAAAAAAGAGCGTGCCATGCTCAAATCAACCATGACTGTGGCCAGAGCAGTGTATTTGCTTCTTGGCTGTGACAATTGATTTTTTGAGCGTGTAGTGTCATTTGCTGAGGGAAGAGAGCAATTTTTAGCTTTGAAAATTCGTTGTGAATTTCTGGCCGCGTGCTGCGCTATAATACTTGCCTCGCGTGTTCTCGGTCACCTCGACTACCGATCGGCAGCTTTTTCTGACCACGCCCAGCAAGTGTTGCAGGGCCCCTTTAAATCTGAAGGGAGGCTTCGCGGCAAAGCAAATTTCTCTTGAGTAGGATTTTTCACGGCTTTGCACTACTACATTGCACTGAAACCACCTTTACAAACGGACTAATGTACAATTACAGTCGCCGACCGATTTTTCGGACCTGGCGGGGACCGAAAAAAAGTACGAAAAATCGAACAGTCCGAAAAATTCGTTTTCGCCAAAAAATCTGAAGTTTATTGCATCAGGCAGGTTTAAAAAAGTCCTTGATGCTGCCTTGCCTCAAACTACGCTTGGAGGCAATTTGGTTTGCCCGTATTTGCGCCAAGGTGACATCGTCGCCGTAAACGCTCGACAAAATTGTCACCGCGTTGGCGATCTCCGCCGCCGACGGCTGCGGGCGGTCGTCGACCGTCATCTAGCGACATCTAGCTGCGAACGTCCACTCTCTATTAGCTTGAATATGGCAGCTTTCTTCTCCATCGTCAGGGTCGTATACTTCCCACGCTTCTTCACACCACCTGGCTCCCGCGATGACACAGATGGCGGAGCCATGGCACCGAGAACACAAAATTCGATGCCGCAGATAGCCGCTGCGAAGCACACAATGTCGCGACGCTACGCGACACGTGCAGAATGACGACTGAAAAAAGCTGCAACGACAATAAAAGACTCCTTCTTTCGCCTCCTTCTCGTGCGATGTGATGACGATAGTGCTGACCGAAGACGAAAAAACGGCATCCATCACCGCGTCTTTTAAAAAGCAAACACGGCCTCCGAAACTTAAAATATGGTGTGCGCATTCCAATCTTGGAGGCATGAAAGGCATCTGAAGACCAAGCTTAGCCAAGCCGACGGAAAATCCAACATGGCGGCGTTCACAATGGCTTGGGGCGTGGCACAAAACGAGCGATTTAGTCCGAAAAATCGAACTTTCAGGGGCAAATTCGCCCGAAAAATCGGTTGAAACAATGCATTAGCTCTATGGGATCCCTTACGGTGCATTTATGATGTCCGGAATATCCAACAAGTCCGAATTTTTGGAGTCCGGAAAATCGGTCGGCGACTGTATTTGTTCACTGCGAAGACTTCGAAAATATTCAATAATTTAAGTTCGAATCGAAGCAAATTCGAATACTAACCTATTCGTTCGAATATGCGAAGCATTCGAATATTCGCACAAGGCTACTAATAGTACATTAGAAATCTAACAGACTTTATCATCCCAAGGAAAGTACAGGGGATATAATTATATCTCATTTCTATTGCGTCCAGAAAAAAAAAAAATGAGCCATGTACACTTATTTCCTTTGCTCGCTAGTACAGTAAAAGCTCGTTAATTCGAATCTTGCAAGGATGCTTAATGAGTTTGAATTAACATGAATTCTAACTAATTAAATTCATTGAAAAAACAGGAAGAATAGAAACCGAGTTGTTTGAAAATCAGACAAACTATTTATTTGCAAAAATCTGTGATTACTTTCTGCTTCCTTTCTTTGAAAGTGATTGTCATAGCTTTGTTTTCTAATGCGCAAGTGTGGCGGGAAGCATCCTCTTCATCTTTCTCAAAGCTGAACAAGAGGCGCGCGACACGCATAGCCTCCATTATCTCTGAAGCTGTCGGCCGCGTCGGCGCCTCATCCTCATCGTCCTCAATCACGTCGACGGTGAGCGCTTCTCTGCCAGTCACCTGCGCGATGATATCGCCGTCCGTGATAGTGCGACAGATCACTGCACTGCGATCTGCATCAACGTAGTTGCCGAAGTTCACGTCCCCCAGTGCATCCCGCAGTCTGGCAGGAATGACTTCGGCCTTGCGTTCGTCGAGTTCGCCAGCTGTGCCCTCAATGGTCACACAAAAGCCACTGTGGTGGAAGCAATTCACAACAGTTGTTGCCGTGACCTGATCCCAGGCCCGCACCAACATATGCAAGGCCAAGAGCAACGTCACATCGTAGCCGTTTGTATCGCGGCGCACAACACCAAACGCTCCAACATGTGGCACCTGTAAAAGCCTTTCAAGTTCCTAATGACCCCTTGGTTCATTGGTTGCAAGGCTGCCGTTGTGTTCTGCGGCAGAAACGAGAGCTTGATCGTCTTCAAGTCCACATCAATCACGTGCGTTGAGCAGTTGTCGACTACCTAGAGCACGCTTTTGTTAGCTAATTAAAATTTGCAATCGAGCTTTATCAGCCACTGTTTGAATATTTCCCGCGTTATCCTTGCCTTGCTGTTGGCTGTATACTCTGCCGGTGGTGTGCAGATGTTCTTGAAGCAACAAGGCTTCAGGGCCTTCCCTATGATCAGCAGCTGTAGTTCTTCGGTCCTGGTCATGTTTGCTGCGACCAACACAGTAACGCACTCTTTGCTTCTCTTCCCGCCAGCACAGGTGTCGCCTTTGTAGGTCAACGTTTTACTTGGCAGCAGCTTATAAAATAATGCCGTTTCATTGACATTAAATATATCGCGCGGCGATTACTCTTGAAGGAGTTCTTGCAAAGCACCGTTTTGTCACTTTGCGCATGTCTCGCTGTTCACTTCTTTGCCTTCACCAGACAAGGTGCGGAACACAATCTCGTGCCTCTCTCGGAAACGATGAAGCCAGTCCTCTGAAGCTCTAAAATCATCTATGTTCAGGCGAAACGCGAAGTTTGCTGCCTTCGCCATAACGATGGGGCCGCTCAGTGGGATGTTTTGGCTCCTCGTTTCCTTGATCCACGTGAACATTGGGCCTCCAATTTTGGGTGCTTCGCTGAGCGAAGCCTCTTGTGACTGCCAGTGAACGCATCAGTTGCGTAGGCCTCCTCAATCGCTAATTCTTTATATATCTTGAAAGAGTGCTTTTTGGGATTCCATGCTTCCTTGCGATTTCAAGCTTGCTTGTTTTTGCCACCGTCCACTTCACGAAGTATTTCTACCTTCTCCTTGAGTGTTTTGGTGCTTGGTCCTTTTCCGCGAGAAGTCATAGTAAGTGCGGTATGCTAGGTCCAGCAGTCGAAGGCAACACCATCACAAAACCCACGGCACTGAAGGACTTCGTAGCTTTGGCGCACACAAGGCCCAGCGACTGAATGTGTGGCACACAAAGGGCACGGAGAGGCGTCCAGCACAAACCACCACGCGATGCAAAGACCGCGCACAGTCGGCGCAGTCTGCCGCAGTTGCGCAACGACGCCACGGGGCCACGTATCCAGGCTCTGGATTGGATTGGATTGAATTTCGCTCAGCGTTTGCGCCATCTATTATAGCGACCATAAAAGTTTGCGGCGCCAGCATAAAATACCACCATGCAGCGGCCCGCAGTTCGAATTATCGATAGAGTTGATGCGTGCATGAACTAACGAGTTGGTTAACTCATAGACGCATATACATCGTGGCTGGACCATGACCATCAGTTCAAACTAACTAGGTGCAAATTAATGAGCTTTCGCTGTACTTGAGGAAACTCAGTGCAATGCACCTGCACATGGGCAAATTCGGGTCAAATATGAACAGATCAACCCACCGCAATGCATTGACACTTTTCTGTGGAACAGCAAATCATAGAATCAGTTCTCGTCGTGCACGACGACTACATTTGTCAAAAAATGGAATGTGAAAATGCTTATGTGCGAAGCACTAAGTTCACGTTGAGAAAATTTTGCATGCTGGAAATTAGTCTCCCATACCTTAAGGTGGTGGATCTGGTGAGTTTTGTTTTGTTTCATTACATTGAACCTTGTTCAATTACCATTGCTTTGTTGCCTTTGAAACCAACCGTCCATAGTGGCAGAATGCAAAAACTCTCATCTGTAGTGTATTTGGTGTTTGATAAAGAACACCACATAGTTAAATTTAATCTGAAGCGGTGTGCTACAGTGTGTGTGACGTTTAAACCACGATCTTGGTGTGCAAAACTTTAATTTCCTTTGATAACGTTTGATCGCACATGATTTCCTGTGATCACTTTGTATTGTCTGCCTCAGTGGATCAGTGGCTACGGTGCTTGGCTTCTGACCCCAAAGGTCGCGGGTTCAATCCCTGCCGCGGCAGTCGCATTTAGAGGGAGGTGCAGTGGTGGAAGCCCATGTACTATGCGATGTCGGCGCACATTAAGGAACACCAGATGGCCGATATTTCAGAGTCCTCCACTGTGACATCTCTCATAATCATGGTGGTTTTGGGGCTTAGAACACCAGATAATATTATCATTATCACTTTATATTTGAGTGCAAACATGAAAACGGAAATGTTGTTATGAATGCAAAATGAAAACGGAAATGTTGTTACAGCCTGACCATATAGTTTCAGCCATAACGGAGAAGGTTTTCCGGGGTGGAAAGCTGTGTAAAAATAAACCAAAAGTTGCACTTGAGCACGTATAGCGCATCTTGTTCCTAAGAAAGACATAATCTTTCACATATTAAACATGTTTTGTCTTAAAGGTATTCAGAACACAGAATAACACATATGATGGCAGACAACGAACCTCAGTGTTTGCCTCCTTTTGTCTGTGCTGCTCGCTATTGTTGAACTTGGCACATGTGCCATCAACTTGCCCAAAAAGTTGCCCTAATGTATTTGTATTGACTACAGTTTGTGAAAAAACAGCCTCTCGGTGCGATATTGTTCAGGTGTACCACTTGGCGGCTGTGCGATTTTTGGACATGTGCGAGAGACTGGGCATTCAGAAGGACATCCAGCACAAGATCTGGACCTGCTTCGAGCATTCCCTCGTGGCACACATCGACCTCATGAGAGAACGGCACCTCGATCAACTCCTGATGTGCGCACTCTATGTCGGTGCCAAGGTGAGCTCGTGTGTGCTCTCTTGCACGTGTCTGCTATGGTAGTTGCAATGTGTCGTTATTGCGGGTCGTTATGGCATGCTGTTCGGCTCTTGTCAAGAGCCCCGCCTTTTTTTAACGCTTTCTGTATATCATGCACTTCAGTGCAGTTCTGTAAGCTGTGCCTCTGCTGCACAGTTTTTGTAAACCTCCATTGCGTAAGCTCGCAGATTTGCAGTCAGTCAGTCAACAAACTTTATTGGGTTCTGAGGAACTACACTAGTCGTAGTTGCGGGCTGTGCTCACGTTGGGGTCGGAAGACCATGGTCCTCGGCCTGTTCGCGGGCCCTTTGGACTGCCCTTAGTTTTTTACGGAGATCGCTGCTTCTGAGGGCTTCCTCCCAGTCCTCTTGTTTAATAAAAGAGGCATTTTGTAACGCCGAACAATGCCAGGGCATGTGAGCTAGCGAGCGATACTTTTCATGGTACTCAGGGCAGTGTAGATCGATCTCCGGAGCAAAGCGACTGAACCTTTCTCTTGATAGGAAAGATCCCATTTGTAACATTCGGAGGGTATAAGATTGAGGTCTAGTCAGCTTTGGATGCGGGAGTGGGAATTTCCTGCGCCCAAACTGATAGTGTTTCACTATTTTGTGAAAAGAAAGTAATGGGTCGGATTTATGCCCCAACCAAGATTGTTTCGCGTATTTGTGCATTGTAGCTTTTTTATCTACTGTGCCGTTTGTTGTGCGTGTACTGAGCCAAGGTTTTTTACTGCGAAACATTCGGAAAGATGAGCCTACAAATGCAGTGTGGTGAAGGAAAGAGAGAAACGAGCAAGGTCTGCATAAGTATCAAATGTATGTAAACGTGCTACCATTTGAAATAGATTCATATACAAATTCAACACCACAATTATGAGTACTGTAGTGGTGAGATTTTAAGCGAGTGCAGCTACAATGCCACTCTGCGGCAGATCATGTCGGATGACGTCATGCCTGCAACATTCGTGTTTTGGCAGCTCGCGGGTCAGTGGCTCAAGGTCGTCTTGACACAATGAATGACCTTGGCAGACAGCATGCAGTAAAGCTGTCATCCTAAAAGATCCTCACGTCTTACATAGCTGGACGATCAGCTATGGGCGGTCCAGCGGGCCAAGGAAGCCGCTAGAAGCCAGGACCTTCTAGCCGACACCTAGGCGGGAGTGCTGCCCACTAGCACACCAGATACAAAATAAAGTGTTTTCGTCCATTCATTGCTAAGACGCTTTCTTTGCATTATTGTGAGGCAGTGCCGCAAGGCCAACTTGCAAGTGAAATTTGTGCGTAGTTGACTCTTACTTTACCTCCCAATTTTCTGCATATTTTGTGCAATTCAAAAGCGAGAGACTATCTGAAATGACTGAAAGACATGCAACCTATAAAAGAGGCCTCCTATCGGTATGCATGTGAAGTTCCAAGGTGAATCCCGAGACAACACAGAGACATCCTTTGGATTCTCCTAGGATGCGCTGCTTAGGATGTGTGGGAACTTCTAAGGATGTCCAAGGTTTTTTACTGCGAAACATTCGGAAAGATGAGCCTACAAATGCAGTGTGGTGAAGGAAAGAGAGAAACGAGCAAGGTCTGCATAAGTATCAAATGTATGTAAACGTGCTACCATTTGAAGTAGATTCATATACAAATTCAACACCACAATTATGAGTACTGCAGTGGTGATATTTTAAGCGAGTGCAGCTACAATGCCACTCTGCGGCAGATCATGTCGCATGACGTCATGCCTGCAACATTCGTGTTTTGGCAGCTCGCGGGTCAGTGGCTCAAGGTCGTCTTGACACAATGAATGACCTTGGCAGACAGCGTGCAGTAAAGCTGTCATCCTAAAAGATCCTCACGTCTTACATAGCTGGACGATCAGCTATGGGCGGTCCAGCGGGCCAAGGAAGTCGCTAGAAGCCAGGACCTTCTAGCCGACACCTAGGCGGGAGTGTTGCCCACTAGCACACCAGATACAAAATAAAGTGTTTTCGTCCATTCATTGCTAAGATGCTTTCTTTGCATTATTGTGAGGCAGTGCCGCAAGGCCAACTTGCAAGCGAAATTTGTGCGTAATTCACTCTTACTTTACCTCCCAATTCTCTGCATATTTTGTGCGATTCAAAAGCGAGAGACTATCTGAAATGACTGAAAGACATGCAACCTATAAGAGAGGCCTCCTATCGGTATGCTTGTGAAGTTCCAAGGTAAATCCCCAGACAACACAGAGACATCCTTTGGATTCTCCTAGGATGTGCTGCTTAGGATGTGTGGGAACTTCTAAGGATGTCGCAGATATTTCCCGGAAACCTCCATGAAGACTACAAAATGAGACAAAAAACGAGACCCTCAGGACATACTGCACTTAGGACATCTTGGGATCGTAATGGGATTATATTTGGATGTTGCACATTCCACTGTATCTAGAAATTACCAGTACATGCAGCATTTGAAGGATGCATGCTAGTTAGTAGAAAGAACTGTCTTTTTGAAAGTCTTGCATTTCTTTACATGTTTTTAATACCCCTCAATGTACTCTTCCAGCGATGCAATGCACTCTTGCTTTTCCATGTGACTGTAGGCTTATAACACGTTCAATGGTTTTGTTGCCTTCCTCTTTGCTTGTTATTTTCCAAATCTTGTAAACACTGCTCCATTATGTGTTTTCACCTGCTTATTTAATATGTGTATATTTATGAAGGGTTGTGCAAGTTCTATATATATATGTACAGGTGCGTTAAAAAATGATCGCTGAAAATGTACACTAATTCATGAAGCAACGTGCATATACATGTGAGAATATCATTAAGTAGATTAATTGAAACCTCGTGGGATTATATACACCATGTCCATTAAACATCCATGCATCTGCAGATGCATGCAGATGTCACGCATGCATCCATCCATTCACGTCTTCTTCCAGGATATTTAATGGACATCCGTTCGCTGAAGTCTACAGGACATCCATACGACTTCCTTTAATGGATGTGGGACTTGGGTACTTGTTTGGAGCATTCCTTAGGACTTTTTTGTTTTGTCTGGGTCATTTGAATAGGTGATAACGAAGGAAATCCATAGTCATGAAAGGAAGCTGTTGAAGTGTGGAAAGCCAAAATTGACTATTCAAGCCAAATAATGGCCTCTCGTCTTTGGCAAGCAATACGGACAATTTAAATGAGTGTGGCTCGTCCTTGATAAATGAAGGAAGGGAATTTTGAGGGCTCCTTTCTTTGTGCGACTACAACCTTAATGAATAACAGTGGTGTCTGGTTTTCAGTCAGCTCATCCTTTAGTAAGCTGCAGGAAAAAGACTTGGGGTGAGCGCTTTCCTGGGCTTGGGATTAAAGAAAACCAATTACGCTCAAGCCTCGATATAGCGAACCAAGATATAACGAATTATCAGTCATAATGAAGTAAGCGTAGAATAGCTTTGTGACACAGTGCTAAGGATATACATATATGACAAATTTTCAGATATAGCAAAGTACTTTCATGGGAGATGTAACTAGTGATAATGATGATTGAGTGTAGTGCGAAAGTAAATCTCCGGTAAACAGGCGCCTAAAATTTTTTCCGTACTTTTTAGGTAACCAAATTTCAAATGAATTTTGAGGCCATTCTGAACTGCTACCGAGAGCAGTCACAGAAGAAAAGTCACGTGAGTAACACCTTTGCAGATCAGCTGGCCTCTTCTTTTTCTGTTTAATGTGCCTCATAAAGAATACCTCTCAAATTTTTGTTTTTGTCTGACACTGTGCAGGTGTACCGCAGCGTTTACTTGAGACGCACTGCAGGGCATGGTGAGGTTCACTTTTCTTTCTTGTTAATCGTTCAGTCATTACGGTATTGTGGTAATGTTCACGCATAACAGACATCGCGTTATGCCATTGGGAACACGTGTCTAATTTTAAACGTATATAAACTGCACATTTATCACTACATTCACACTATCACTTGTTGGTAGGGCCTAGCTTGGGAAATTTTTCAGGTAAGTATGGGGGTACTTTCAGGTAAGTATGGGTAAGTACCATGCGTAAGCGAATGTTCAATTAAATTAGCTTCTTAAGTAGCCAAAGCCAAGCTTAGCCACTGCGTGGAAGCCGGTGCCCTGAAATTCTTCACACTTGCATCGCTCTGTGCTTGTCTCACAACTCTGACTCTTGTGTTGTGAGGCATTCGAAAGCGCCAACGGCCAGTGCATCGACCATGTTGCAAGCAAGTGGTTCATTCAGTCATTGAAAACATCAGACTTTAAACCACGGCACAGGCTTAGTAACTGTAATTAAGTTGAGTGTGCATTGAGACACGAAAATAAAACCCATTGTGAAAAAATGCTGTGAGACGTCACAAGGGGCGATCGACTTAAAGCACGCTTGATCAGCCCTCTGTTGTAGCCTAATAAAAAGTCTAAGCTCTGCCCACAGCACCATAGCCTGTCTGCTTTTCACCTGTCAAAGACAGTCGTGCTAGTTGGATTCTGCTTGAACTGTAAGTCATTTTTCTTGGATAATGTAAGTATCGTGCGTATCAGTAGTTAAAGGTTTGTCCTTCCTGCCCAAAACATCGTGTTTGGCTGAGCGGCAATGTCAGAATCTCCGATAAAATTACTGAGGGTGTTCAAGTTTCTAACTTAAAACCAGTGACTAAATTGTGTGTCTGTATGGTAAGCTCAAATATGTGCAACATTATACGCTCAAAGCTCGTTATAATGAAGTTGCATCTTGCACAAAAATAAGTTCGTTATATTCAAACATCCGTTATAGTGTTATATTTCCAACTCTATCTATTGCAAGGCTATTCTTCGTTTACTTTTCTATAACCGATATTTTGTTATATTCATTTTTGTTATATCGAAGCTTGAGTATAAAAGTGCTTGACTTCATGAAATTGAGTACGTGCTGTACATTTATGCAAGTTCTCGGTGTGAGGGACAGCGATGGCCTTGGGGGGAACCAACATTTTTCATTAGGTTGTGTCCAACTATACTGGTTTAGAAGCTTATGTAGACTGAATTTTTCTGGAAGACAATCAATTTACGTTTGTCTACTGCAATATTGGCCGCGGCGTGTGCTGTTTGAAATGATTCAAATTAACTTCTGTGTCCATAGTATTTCTGTGCAAAATAAATCATTTGCCACAACGTTGAGCTCTGATTGTCGCGTTTGACCTCTTTAACACGGTGAAGCGATTGCACATACAAGAAGCTTTAGTTTCCTTGTCATTGCCAAAGTGCATCTGCCCAATGCATTGTTTTTCATAAAATGAATAAAATCAATACATTGGTGACTGTTTTAGAAGTAACCTTATTGTTCATTTTGCGGAAGTGTTGCTTGGTATTGCTGTGTGCGTTTTAGTATCAGAGATTCAAGGTATGCACATTCATAAAAGGAATGCTTAACATAAAGTTACAAAATTAGCACGGAGGTAATTTTGTTGCTTGATCAGTTTAGTTCTGGAGATTTCTTTCCCAAACAACATTTATCGTTGAGTTTTTATGCTTGACTAGGGTGTTAAATAGTTCAGAATTTTCACACATGGTTTGAGGTTGACCGCTGACATTGCATAACTTTGCAGATATACGTAAGTCGGATGTCTGGGTTTGTCAAGAGCTTCTGTTCGGGTGCAAGGATGGTGAGTTTTTAAGAATACTTCTTTACTTGGGATTTCTGCTTTTATGAAGACCATGTTTCTGTACCTTAAGGTGTAACGTTAAGAGACAAGAAGAGAGCAGAGTGGATTAGCAAACAAACTGGAGTTAAAAATATCATGGTTGAAATCAAGAAGAGGAAATGGACATAGGCCGGGCATATAGCACGTAGACAGGATAACCGCTGGTCATTAAGGGTAACTAACTGGATTTGTAAAGAAGGCAAGAGGGTTAGGGGAAGGCAGAAGGTTAGGTGGGCAGATGAGATTAAGAAGTTTGCGGGTATAAATTGGCAGCAGCAAGCACAGGACTGAGTTGATTTGTGGAACATGGGAGAGGCCTTTGTCCTGCAGTGGACGTAGTCAGGCTGCTGATGATGATGATGTTTCTGTACATATGTGGTCTCTCTAAACAACTCGAAGTGGTAGGCAGATTTTGTCCGTATGTACTATTAAAGGTGTCAAAGTGCGATCAAAGCAAGTTTTTTGTGACATTTCCGTTCATATTTATAAGGTCAAACTGAGCACATATGCTCTCCTGTATTTGCACTTTTTGAAACTAGGTCTTTTACAAAGTTTAAAATGTAATCTAATGTAACGAAGTAGTATTTCCATCATTTATGCTATGTTTTTTATTGTTATGTCTGACAGCATGCCTTATTCAAAATGTAAACGGAAGTTAGGAGAAGGAGTCGCCCAATGTTGTATGCTACATGAGGAACCCACCATTTGTCGCAGAATGACATCGTTTGCCTGACACCCCTGCCGCGGGCCAAGTACATGCTCAACTCACCGAAACGCCAGATTTCGCCCAACATCAAGTTGTTCGTGTCCCCACTCAAGGTTGACCGCTTCGCGACGCCCGAACGTCACACTTACCACTTCAACCAAAGCCCAGCCAAGGTGAGTATTTGTACTAAGTACTAATTACACTAGCCTCGTCGGGTCTTTTCAGCTTTCGATGTGTCCACATCAGAATCCACACGTTTCAGTCCTGGCTTAACCCTATGTTATGCCTTTCCTATATATATTTTTTTTCATGCTGGCACAAATACTCTGTTGTAAAATTATTATAAGGAGAGAAAAAGAAAAACTAACGTGCTTTGTGTCACAGTAGTTCTGCGAAGTTGTGCCTGTAGTCCGAAATGAATGGCTGAACATAAGGTTGTGCTTCTGGAAAAGTATGTGTTAGAGGTTGTAAGCACCAGGCTATTTACATCAAAACTCGATATAACGAACCCAAATATAACAAAATATTGGTTATGGCAAAGTGAATGAAGAATGTGTAGAATGTGCAATATATATATATATATATATATATATATATATATATATATATATATATATAGTGTTAGGTATACACTTTTATAATAAATTTTAGGCTACAACGAACATGTTTTTGTGTAAGAAGCAACTTCGTTATATTGAGGTTCGAGTGTATCTGCGCAGTTCCGTTCATTATTTCAAGCTTTCCCGACCATGTTGCACTTATGAGGTGTTATTTTCTCAGTTCATCCTTTACTTTTCGGTTAATTTATTACAGGATCTCCTCAGGATCAACGAAACAGTTAGGAGTGCGTGCGTGGATGTAGCGAGGAAGCGAATCTTGCTCGACGGCGATGCCCCGGAAGACGAGCCGCCCACGAAAAAGCACGTGCTCTACGAGAAGGTCGAGGCATTTGTGCGGGGTCGCCAGGGCACCTAAAACGGAGTTGTCAGTTTTGAAGTGTAGGTGGCTTGAGAGTTGGAAGCGCTGGGCTCCCCACTATACTGTTTAACATTTTTGTTATCATATGGTGGTTTTGGGACGTTAAATTCCACATATCAATCAACATTTTTGTTGCTTCGAGACTGGCTCGATTTGTCATTGCAGCAAATCTTGCGTGACACTACTTTTCGTTTTGCTGGCGTGTGTCGCTTTGACGAAAATTGTCGAACCATTGCACATGTGACAAGGTTCATTGTGCCTCCTGAAGAATGTTGATTATCCAAAAAGAACCTTTGAATGTGGTGGTGCTCTTGAAGTTGCTTAGAAGTTTATGCCTGTTGCAATGGTTCAAGAACCTTTCACCTCGTCTGTACTAAAGGAACTGAAGCACACTAGCAGGGTGTGTTGCTAAAAGCAATGCTGTTTTTGTTGGTGCTGGAATGAGTGTGGCATGAGCATTTGTTTGGTATGGCCAAATCATGAAGAATCTTTTTTTTAATTGTTTTTTTTTATAAAAACCTTTGGTAAGTACAAGGTATGCCGAGTGGTGCCTGTATGTGTGTTTGTGCGTGTGCAAGTATTCCGTTTGACGGTTTCCTTTCCGGTGTCCCTTTTAATTTCTCTCCAGTGTCCATTAGATATCAGAATGACGATCTGATAAGTATCGATATTCCTTGTGTGGTGTAGAGAACAAAGATAGTTGGTATTCCGACCCACATAACGTTTGCCGTGGCCTTCGTGTAATGAGACAGCTTCAACCAGTAGTGGAATATACAAACTTGGTGTTTTTTTTAAAAGTGATGCATTCTGTGTATTCAAGCATATCTGTGTATGTGTACGTGTGTTTTGTTCTTAGATGTGTTTCTGCAACAAGGTATTCTGCAGCTCCTGTGTTGAGTGCCTTCGCGAGGGGCCGAAGGCCTTTGCTTGGCATGAGCGGAGGTGGTGAAGACACGAGAAAGCAGTGTTGCATTTGCACTGCTCTCTCAGAGTGTCAAGTCTGTATGTGGTTGTGTCGTACGAAGACCAAACACTTTTTACTGTGTAACTATGCGCACAAGCTGCTGTTTATGATCTCTTTGCGTTTGCTAATATATATATACTCATAGTGCAATGGTGTTTTTTTCGTGGCAGTGCAGCAGTTTTCACTGTTATTTAGTGATCCTCTGAAACATTAAATGATGTGCATCATTGAAACATTCATATGATTATTTATTTAATGACTACAAATGCTGCTCTTGCAAGCTTCCCTGCATTTTTTCTTTCTGATGTTTATTTTGTAACTCTTAACTTATTGTGCATGTGGTGTTTTTATGCATGCAGAGAAATACAAACCGGTGCAGTATTCACAGATTTTGTGGCTCACTTTCAGTCTGTATTTCTTAAATGTAGTGCTAGGCCTCGTTTCATGACAACTGGCTGTGCCTAGCATAGAGGTTGACAATAGACCTGCACGGGATTGTGTGTTTTCAGAGGCTCATCTAACAGGGGTATAGTGAAACTGAAAGGGTATGGTGCACTTCAAACGCTAGGCTGGTGCGTCAGTGACTTTCTTTTTTGCACTGGACGTGCCCGTGACCCACGTATGTCTGACTTTGTAAATGGTCTCTAGATCAGCTTGTTTAATCTCACAGAGTTGGATTAGAGAATGAGGGATAGCTGTTGTGCAGGAGGCTAGGAGATTAACCAGAGGATTAATATCCAGTTATGTGCTGTGAAAGGGGCTAGGGTTGGCAGAGAGGTAATAAAGAAAAACTAAGCACTGTAGTGAGAATGAATACATGACAGGGATTCACTTATTTACATTGTGGTCTCCAAAATGGCCTGTACGCGAGTACAAATTCAGGACTATTCTGAAGCGTCTGGTTTTAAAGTTAGATGTAGGCACGTTTGAAAGGTTTCAGTCGCTTTCATGACCGGCTTCATGACGCAGCGTACAGGCAGCACATTTTTGTGTGCAAAATATAATTGCATCTCGAAGCCATGGAATGGCATTCTACTAAGCCGTAATGCCTGTTATTTGGTATTTCACTATGAATGATATTTTATTTACATAAATGTAGTACTGGTCCTAGTCTCTTTCTGCACCGCCATGGCCATTTGCAGTTCACTATCATCCATCATTTCCCATTCTATTGAGCATGGGCCAACAGTTTTACAGACATGCCTGTAGAGTCAACTTCTCCGTCTTTGTTTTAATCTCACGTGAAAGTGATTAGCTTAAAATTCCTGGAACAGGGATTGCTGTTGGAGTCAAAGTTTGGACTCTAGTCACACACGACTTCAGAAGTTCGTGACACTTCCTCCTCAAAGGCTCTTCAATGGTGCACAATGCTTGCACCAGTAGGTGCCCACTCCAGACCGGGGGCATAGGCAGTGATTTTTCATGAGGGGCTGGCACCACCTTGACCTGAATTGAAAGCTGGACAGGCAGATAAAGTTGAGTGTCATTTTGCGCTCTGTATGCCATGCCAAGAAAAAATTCAGAGAGGAGGAAGCCAGGAAACAGGCCCAATGCACCACCCCCTGGCCACGCTACTGCTCCAGAACACAGTGGACACTCATAAATGGAACCTGAAGGGACTGGGAAAATGTGTTCCGTTCAACAGGAGTTCCATTTACTGAGAGGTGAACTGGGGTCCAGTATGCAGGGATTAAACCAATCATATCAGAGGCAGTTGTTCCATTTAAGCAGCAGTTCTGTTTAATAGATTTCTGTTTACCGAGAGTCCACTGTAATGTAGTGAGGCTCGCTTTTGAAGAACTTTGCCTAGTGCGCGAGCAGGACTATTTCGGTAGCCGAAGAGTCGATCCGCTGTAGTGCTTCGGTCGTCTAGGCGTAGCCTCTCCAGACTTAATAATTTCCATTCAGCTAAGTAGTCTTGGCTTCTTCAAGGCTGTAACCTTTAAGGAGACGAGACCGCTTGTTGAAACGACGCTAGCAACAACCTCATCTCGCAACTACACGGAGCATAACCTGTCACAATGACGGGGATAAGTAATTCGGAGAAATAGAGTTGATATGGTATAGACTAGACCACCTTAGGTCCTACAGGGGTTAGTTCAAGGCAACAGTGCGTCACTGCACATGAGATAAAGGGAGTCGCTGGGCCTTCGGAAGAGCGAGGGCTCGTCTGGTAAACCAGTGCCCAACCGCACGTCCGCTGGTCTGAGCGTGGGGAGACCTACGCAAACTCTACTGAGAACCATTGGGTTAGTGAGGGCTCATCTGGCAGCGAGTGCCCATACGCCAACTCCGACGGTCGATGGCAAGCTAAGGAGAGTTCAGAACAAGGTCTACACACTGACAACACTTGGGAGAGTCTCCGCTTCTTCGCTCCCGGCGGCTGCTTTAACAAGCCCATGCACTCAAGGTCAGCGAGTGGCATGGGGCCATTGGCTTTGTTCAGGGAGGTACCAATGTCACTGGCATCTTCTAAAATGTTTGAGAGGAACAGTGGGAGAGAGGGGAGATTTCTAGTGAGCTGAAACATGGAGCAGGCATTTTTTCTTTATTTTCAACATACATGGCACCCCTATTCAAGAAATTTTCGTCAATTTCATCATCTTTTCAACTGTCTTGCTTAAAGTGAGATACAGCATGATAAGCTTGAATGTGATTGTGGTAGTCTAAAATGCCCTTGCTGTGCCCATTTGTGCGAATAGGGGAAAAACGTGCATATTTGCACAATTCTGAAGGGGTAGAGTGTTGAAAGTACAAAGACATGTACAAAGTCGCTGTTTGTGTTCGTTATAGCATTTCCTGCATTTGATTAAGCTGTAAAAATGAGTTGTATGTAAGGGAACTACATTGAAATTTGTTATTGGGAGTGGCTAGTTCTGGATAGAAAATGAAGTGGGTTTCAAAACAAAACATTGTTTTTGACACTGTAATAGAAGAAAAAAAGATAATAAAAAAATAAAGCCCTACCAATGAGAACTTTCAAGAATCAAGAGCATCCTTGCCAAGATTGTTCGAGTAGAGTGGGTGCCAGTTTACAGCCAAATATGAATTTTGTTGCAGTCAAGTTTTTAGAGAGCTGCTGCACTTGCTGCCAATGATTTAACTGTTCCTTTTTGGGTGAGCAAAGTTGTGTGTAGAGTTTGCTTCCTCGGGATTGTTTTGTGGGTGTGTGGTACATACAGTGATGCGGTTTGCTTCGCAACAGTTGGCTACTTGTTGCTATTCGGTGCTTTGTCATTATTTTGTGCTGATGTATTCTACATATTGTGTGTGTGTGTACTGTGCATAAAGACCAGATGATGTGATATGTGTGGTATTTTATGTCACGAGGGCTAGTAGTGGCGAAACAGTGCCGAGGAGAAGGCGGTAGAGGGAGGAAAGGCAGAAAGGGTGTGGCTCTGCCTTTCCAGAATGTGTGGGCACGCACCCGCAGAAAGAAGGGAAAGCAGCGTTCCTCTTGAATTTTGAGCTATTTCTGTAGCATGTAGCGTTGCGAATTTCGGCCGACAGGATCGTGAATGCCCTATGTATGCATTGCGCTCGTCAGCTGGAAATTGTCAAACCTAGTGACCCACTGTTTAGACACACTGTTTAAGTCTGCATGTTACCTGCAATGTGTACATGCGTGTGCGTACCATTCAAGTAATGTGCTATAGCCATAGGTTAGCACACACATTCGTGAGTCGACTGACTCGGACTCGGATCGAGCCGCGAGTCTGAAGCGAGCCCGGGTGAGAGATTTTTTGAGAGAGTCTGAGTGAGTTCCACTTTTGTTTGCAACCTATACGTCCTATCTACTCATCTTCAACATTACTATTAGCCTTATTTGCATTCACATTTGCACTCATGCCTACTGACACGTATTCTGAAGCAGTGTCATTCATAAACCATTTCTATATTTGTTTATTGGAGGCATGAATTATGTTAGGAGGGTGCCCCACCCACTCTTCCAGGGAAGTTCTTAATAAAGGTATCTTATGTTGTCATTTCTTTCAGAAAAAAGTCATTTATTCGCAACCACTCATGACTCGTATTCTAAGGTTCTGGACTAACAGACTCGTTAGTCGACTCACTCAGACTCGGATCGAGCCGTGAGTCTAAGCGAGTCCAGAGGAATAATATTTCGGTGAGTTTGACTCTGAGTGAGTCCAGCTGAAAAAAACATTTGTGCGTGTGAGTTCGGCTCAAGAAATTTTCGGCCAGTATGAGTCTGAGTGTGAGCTTTAAGTGCAGAATGTATCTAATGAGTGAGTTTGAGTGAGCTCCACAAATTTTGGCTGACCTATCAGCATTATCTTTTTTTGTGCAAGGATTGAAATATTCATATGCTACGGGGAAACAGCGCTCAAAATTCCACATCTGTAGCACTTGTATAGGTAACTTGTACATATGTTTAACAGTTAATTAGGTACATCATCTCAGAAAATACCATTGAAAGTGGTGTGCAGAACAAGAGGGCTTTTAAAGCTCGTACACGGAAAAACCACTTGTAGAAGCTTGAATGCCAAGGTGGGGGGCCCTTCATACAATGCTTAATATCTGAACAAGAACAACTTTTAATACGTACATAAAAGCTGAACATTGTGAAAAAAAGTACGTTATTATTTTGCGAACAACTGGACTGACACCCAGTGTCAGTCTAGTTTTTCGCCCTCAACTTTGCAGTGCAGCCTTTACCTACTAGTATGTTTCAACTAGCCCCCACACAAGCTTTTCTGTACGTCTGCACTCGTGCCCAAACTTGCTAACATTATATAGTCAACGTCAGCACACAGCACATACACATACGGGATCTGTACGGATTCATAAAAACTTGTAATCTATCTAATGCATTCATACGTCACATGAGGGTGGCTTTATTTCAGTCTAATTAAAGCGCGGTTTCATGCCAACTGAAATGGATTGTGTTAGCACGTATGCTTGAGAGTAATATCGAGTATGAAACAATGTACTCAACAGCCGATCGCAATTATGCACACGCGTCGAGATGAGTGCTGATGTATATCGCACGCGCACACGTGCCCAATGAACGCCAAATAAACGCCCAATCAACGCCAAGCGCAACTCAAAAACTTAAAGGGTCACTCGCCAGGCCCCATACGAAATTTTAGTTAGTCCGTAGAAGTTATGGGGTGTCCGATGAGGAGCAGTTTGCCACAAAATGTTTCCAATCTGTTCATTACGAGCTGAGAAAACTGTTTTTTTTTTTTTTTTGAAGCGGCGTGAAAGCAGGATGAGAGGAGGCGAGCTCGAAACCCTTGCCGCTTCTCCGCGTAGCCTTCGCAAGCCGAATATCTTCCCTGCCCTCTCCGGCATCCGACCAAGAGGTCGCGTGCGCATGACGTGTCCGAACTAGTCCAACCCCGCGCACGCAAGCGACGTTTTTTTTTTTTTTTTGTCGACTTCTGTTTTGAGGTCTAATGCCTGTTTCTGCGGGACGGTTTGGAAACGTTGGCTTATACGCGATAGAATAGATTAGCACAATGAGTGCGCGAACGTGTTGGAGTGTTTCACGGCTGCTGTCTGCTCGATGAAGTGAAATTAACTTTATTTGGTACTGGAGTACTGGTCAGACACCCCCCTAAGAGGTGTCTGCCGCAGTTATTGGCCACGTCCACGCCGGGACTGGAAGACCGTGGCCCTTGGCCCGTTCCCAGGCATCCTGGGCTGCCGAGTATTGGACAGAGAGCTCGGGGCTTTTAAGAACCCTCTCCCAGTCTTATTCTGGGCTGAACTTAGCGCCATGTAACGCCGGGCACTGTCAGAGCATGTGAGCGAGTGTGCAGTTATGTGTCTCACAACTAGGGTATCCTGGAGTTATGCCATCAGCAAAGTGGCTGAATGTGCTACGAGATAGGAATGAGCCTGCCTGTAGCATCCGAAGAACCGACGACTGCGGCCAAGTGAGCTTAGAATGCAGAAGTGGATACCTCCGCCTAGACAACTGAGAATGGGACGTCACTTCGTTAAAGGTGCCAAGTGGATCGTTAAAGTTGTCCGCGAACCCACCTTCGTACCCGCTCGGACCGCCGCGGCACGTGATTTCTCGCGCAGGGCTATGGGCGAATTCGTTAGCGTTGGGAAGAGTTGAATGCACCTCTGAGCCTATATATGTGGTCCAAAAACCAGGTGATTGTGTGGTAGCCTACTGCACCCCTGGATCTTTGATTCGCTCGCTGGATTCCGTGCCGACTGGTTGTGCCCGCGCGATTTCCGACGACAGCGTAGCTGTGGCCGACTGGGTTGGTCCTACGCCACCTCCTGCCGCCGGTCCCCAACGACGATGACAGCGTAGCTCTGGCTGACTGGATTAGCCGTATACGTCGTCTCCTGTCGCCGACAAAAGCTATCGCCAGTGGTGCCCCGTCCTCGGACTCCTGCTAACGTGTCCTTCTTTCCCGTCTTCTCCTCACTTCCGTCGCTACCTGTCCCACCATCTAATTCTCTCCTTCTTCTCTCTCTATATCTCTACCTTTTGATCCTATCCTTTTATTCCCTTCTATACCCCCATCCCTCTTGAGCTACTGTTGAGGTGTCCTCCCACTGAGAGCGGGGCTCACTTTTCTCTTCTTTTCTTTCAAAATCGCTTCCCCTGGATTTTAAAATATCAGCAGCCGGGGGGGAGAATACCCCCGAGACAAATGCACGGGTGACAGCCCTGGAGTCAGTAAATATCTCTGGACGCGAAGGGTCCGTCATCGCCAAGGCTATCACTACCTACTCTGCTACGGAGGCAGACTCCTTCCTCACGGAAGGCGAGTCAAGTACGTGGCCTCGATGATCAAAGACCACAGCTGCAAAACGATCGTAGCGGCCATACTGCGCCGCATCGACGAAAGCTCACCAAGGTTGAAAGGTGGGCATGTTGGTATTCTATGTTTAAGAAGGGCAAGAGCGCACTGAAAACCACGTGTACCTTACGTACACGCGGTTTCACATAATCTTAAAAGATTGCCCAGTGGGCCAAAGTGCGCGTGCTCATTTCTGCGCCAAACAAGTTGGAAAGGTTGTGCACGATTACGACGAGAAATTCAAACGCAAATCGGGGGTGCAAAACTAATCACAAAATTAAGTTTGTTGATTGCGCTGAGTGTGTCGTGTATTGCCTGCTGCTATCTTGTGGTCGCTGCTACGTCGGACAAACCGGTCGTTGCTTGAATGACCGGCTGCGTGAGCATCATTACAATGTCGAAAAACGGGGCAGATGGGTTCTTAGCAATACATTGTAAAAAGCGTGTCGAACAGGGGCATTGTAAAAGTGCCCCTGTTCGACACGTGCGTGGTTTTGTCAAGAAATAGGAATCGGCTTACACGCGAGATAATAGAGGCAGGAGAGAATGAAAAGTTGGGTGACAGGTGCGTTAGTATGCTTTCTATCGCGCTGACGAAGAAGGAATTTGATTTCTTTGGTGTCCGTTATGATGCGAAATAATGTTGCGGATACGTCTGCGCAGGAGTCGTGCTCGTCGTTGTGCCCTATAAGTAGTGTTGTGATCACAAAAATAAACTGTTGAAAGTAGCGCGATGTGTGTGTGTGTGTGTGTGTGTGTGTGTGTGTGTGTGTGCGTGCATGTGTGCGTGTGCGTGTGTGTGTGTGTGTGTGTGCGTGTGTGTGTGTGTCCTTTCTTTGGGTATTCGTATTCAGTGCGCTCTTACAACACCACCTAGACTATTGACAGTCTAGGTGGTGTTGGCTCTTACCCTTCTTAAACGACGAAAGCTACACTGCCCGCGGACCTACCACAAAATTAAAGGAGAGACTTGGCTCGTGCCTTTCGCCGGTCAACATTGTACTGTGGATGCACGTTACGCGGGAATGGTGCCACCTCGTACGTGCCCTTCATTGTTTGTGATAAGAAGATCTTCTGTTCCTCCCCTGTCGTATGATGATATCCCAGCGACTGTAGGAGACGCTGACCAGCTTTCGTGGAGGAGAGTCGCGCGACCTGAGCTAGTGTTTGTGCCTCGGTCACCTCCGTGAGGGTGTTGTGCATGCCCAGATTCGTGAGCCTGGTCCGTGCTGGTGCTCATAGGTAGGCCTAGTACCCTTTTGATGCTTTTACGCATTAAAGTGTCGAGTTTATCCTCCTCACATTTAGAATAATTTAGCGAGGATGCCACGCAATTAATGTGGCTCATGAGGAATGCGTGGAAGAGCAGAAGGGGATTGCTCTCCTTCAGCCCTCCCCTGTCAAAACCTGCGAATTTCTGCCGTTGGATTCAAGAAGGAAGCCTAGCACCCGAATACAATTTACTCTAGGAATAGACTGCCCATCCCGTGTGGTTATAGTAATCTTCACCTGATCAAGTGGTGACTCGTTCCTTCTTCCCGGTCGAGCTGGTCGATATAGAAGCAACTCCAATTTAGAGGGGAATAGCTGAAGCCCTGTATCCTACAGAAAAAGTTCTATGATTAACAAAGTAGATTGGAGCGCCTCCTCCACTTCAGCATCCGAGCCACCCATGCACCAGACTGTAATGTCGTCGGGTCTGCTCGATGCGCTGACCGCAGGGGCACGAACGCATGTGAAACGTCGGCACATTAGCCTTGCATTTGTCGCAATTCATGGGGAAAAATAAAAAAAGAACGCTCACATTCACTTAATGCGTTTCATTATTCATCTAGAGATTTATTAATCTCTTCATGCTACAAATACATAAACTACGCATGCCGTGTTAAATCATTTTCGCCATGTCACGCGCCACTGTTGTCTACGTCAGAGCACACTCGTCTACAAAGAGGACCAACGTCAATGCATTGCCATGTACGTAGGGCCATTCATACGCGCACATCATGCCCTCATTCTCTGGGCGCGCGCCGGCAGAAGGGAGGGGGAGCAGCGTTCGTCTTGACATTTGACACATTTCCGTGGCGTGTAGCGTTGCAAATTTTGGCAGACGTGATCGTAAACGCCTCATCTAAGCATTGCGCTTGACAGCTCAAAATAGTCAAACCTGGTGAGTGGCCCTTTAACATCAGACGCGG